ATTACAGTACAAATGAAATAAATTAAGACATAAAGCAAAATAAATTAAAATCTAAAACAAAATTAAACAAGAATTTACATTTTTTACATTTACACTCCCATATATTTGTACTAGTGCAAATAGATTTACACTACAATCAAATACAGCAAAAACTCCAAATTTGACCAAATTAGGGAACTTATATTATTCTAACAATAATGAGAAGAGAGAAGAAATAAGGAAAATTCTCCTCTCAGCTTCTTTTTTCCATTTTCATACCTTCTCTCTTGGATAGCGATCAAGTAAAATAGAACTCGTGTCGATCCTTTATCTATTAGCAATAAATCACTAATAACTAATAAGAGGTTCATTACAGTTACAAAAAATTGGTAAAATTACCAGAATTAATTGAAAAAAAAAAAGAAACAGAGAATAGTGATACATGGTGAAGCGAGAAAATGTGATATTGGCACGGCTCAATCAAATGAAATCACCTAATTGAGTTAGGAGCTTTGATTTGATTGAACCATTCCAACATCTCACTTTCACCCAGCATCACCCTGTCGAAAGAAATCAAAACAGAAACAATTTATTTACTTGCCTCCACGAAATTGCAGAGTTATGACCGGCGGCAACGCGTATGAATGTAAACTTAATTCATGCCCGACGATGATGACGTTCGACGACGACAACGAAAGCATATAAGAGGACGATTAAAAGAACAGTGACCGATGGTATAGCAATGCAGAATGTGGCAATGTAGTGGTGGGCATGGTGGCGGAGTTTCCGAAATGGAGGGCGAAGGCGATCGATTAAAAGCAAGAAGAAACGAGGGTTCGAATAGTTTTATTTTTGAAGGATCGATGGTTGAAACGTCCGCATCTCTGCTTCACGTATATATATCTTAATATAAATTTCTTGATATGTTTTTGCGCGTAGTTGTTGGTGAGGGCAGGCGAAGATTCCATTTTTCACATATATTTTATTTTCTTTTGGGTTTTTTTTTTATTTGAATGAATCATCATCAATTTTTCACAATTGGTTCGGCGTCGTTATTCCAATTTTATCAAATCAAAATAATTAATACTTTCTAAATACATGCCAATTCCTAAATTAGTAATGTTTCACTAAACAAAATAATTAATTAATTATTATCATCGTCATTTCCGATCATCAGAATCGTCATCATCCATCATTGCTTGGTAGGGATGCAATTTGAGCGGGCCCAAACCCATTCAGTCCACAATTTTATATGGATTGGGCTTGAATTTCTCGTCCCTGGGCTGAACTCAGGCTTAAAAGTTTGGGTTTTTTAATTTTCAGGCTGACTTGGAGCTTAATCCTTGGATAATTTAAATATAATCCAACTCAATTTATATAAATATATATATATATATATATGCATTTATAAATAAATATTTTTATGCATACCTCTATAGTCTATATACATATACATACATGTATATCAACTTTTAATATGGGCTAATTGATCAATCCGAGTTTGGCTTAAGCCTGAGCCCAATCTAAGTGTATCAATTTTTACTATGGGCTGGGTTTGGATTAAATAATTTGGACTTGACCTTGAAATCAATTTTAGGATTGGGCCTGGGTTGAACTGAAGCCCGGCCCAGCCCTCCCAATTGCTTGGTACTTTGAAGAACCGGAAACGGGTCGGTTCATTGCAGCCGACCTTATTCATTAATTTGAGAGAATGTGGGTGTGGAATGTGGCTCCCTACAATGACTATTGATTAGTTATAAAAATCATTTTAATTAGTCCAGCAAACCCATCAATGGAAACAAGCAACGAATAAATCACACAGCACCATGATGGTGATGATATAATAAGCATGGTGACAAAAATGGTCAATATAAAATAATCAATGAAAATCATGATATCATAATATTCCCCTTGCATATTATTTATTGTTTTTAAACCCTTCTTCCTCCACTAAAGACACAGAGAAGCGGTAGATTCGCCAACCCACTCGCTTAGTACATAATCGACCTAATTTTCTTTGTCATATTATCTCTACATATTTGGTGCAAGGTTTTCCATCATATTTATATATTTATTTTTTTTCTTGTCACACGCTCAGAAAAAAGAAAAAATAATAAAAAAGGAGAGAGAGTGTGTGTATGTGTTCGTCCACTGAAATGGACAAGTGTTTACTGAATACTAGAGAAATTTCTCTTCTTTCTGTTCTCGATAAAAGTTGCTATTCAAGGGATGTGCCGGCGAGGGACCCTTCTCTATCCAGTGTTTTATCTTCGTTGGATTCTTTACTTTTTGTTGCCAAGTTACATTACTTGAGTTTATTAATTTCCCTTTTTTTTTTGTTGTTGTTGGAAATTATTGCTGCAGGATAGGCTGACGGCAACAAGGTAAATCTGTTCCTAAACCGAGAGCTGACTGATGAGTCCAAAGTTCGCTGTAATTAAGGGCTGGTAGGTCAGACATGTGGAGAGAGAGAGAGAAAGAACGTTAGAGGCCCTGGGTGCTAGTCCAAGGCGTATATTCCAACGTTCAAGTTAGTACGAGTGTAACGGAAGGTGAACGAGGCCTGAGGTTGGGATGCTTAGACAAAGTCACAAGTGAGACAAGAAAGTTCTTAGCAGTAAAGAGTCTAGGTGCTTATCTTGGGAGGTCACCCCCTATTTATACTTGAGGCCACCTAGAGGTAGGTGGACATGGACGGTCAGGATGCTGTCGGCCTTGAGGGCGTGGCCATCCGAGGCCGCCGCATGTGGCCGCTTTATTGGCCCCGTGTCGCGCACCAGCCTTTGCTTTGCACATGCTCTCATTGATCCGCTCTACGCACATACATGTCATTGGCCCGAGTTATAAGCGCCTACATCAGTAATATTTTCTTTAAAGGCTGGCATGGGTTCAACAGATCTTCCTCTTCTTCCTAAGCATTATTGACGTCAATATTATCATTTCTATTTTTTCAATATTGGGACAAAAGGAAGGTAATAAAATAATATATACAGGGGGCATTCTTTTTTCAGATTTTGAGAGGGGGGAAAATTGGTCAATGGAATTTTGGTTCCCATTGATTTGGCATTGACCAAGAATCTCATGTTCTTTTTTCAGATTTATGTGGGGACTAGGGAAATTTATTTTCCTGTGTATCACTTATCCGGGTAAGTGATACCCATCTCCTAGGTGGATAAACAACTTTCCCACCTAGGGGAAAAGTTGCCAACACTTGAATGGGACAAAAATGCCCTTTTTAATAATGGATTTTTATGACTAAAATGATCATTACTTTATTTACATGAGAAATAAAAGAACATGGGTATATGCATTTACCCGGATAAGTGTTTCCCAAGAAAAACTTATCCAGATAACTGCATTTACCTGGGTAAATAATTTACAAAAAGCGAATAGGGCCATAGTAATTTTTGGCCTCTACTCTATAAGGTACGTACATTCATGTGGTAGATTAGGGAAAATAACAGGAGGCCCACATAGATGGTGGATCTACCAAAGCAAGCTTTTTTCTTTTTCGTTTTTCTAATTTTTGCAAATGCACATCAGAATTCACATTTCGATTAGAGGAAGTACAGCACAAAACCTGGATTTCTGTTCAAAGTTCAAATACGGTATTGGATCAATCACTTAATTCCAATGCTCTACCCTATTGTGAATTGTGATCTTCGAATTTAATGCTAACCAATGAAAGACGACTGATTGTTGCTTCTTTCAGGCTTGAACTTGTATGAAATAGGTAGATAGGAGGTAACAACTAACTATCTATCTATTGTACCCATTATTATTCCTAAATTTGCATGAAGAGAACAAAACAAACAAGAACTCTGTAACTTTCCAAGCATGCCTCAGCTTAAACTCTTCCTTGATTGGAATGGCCAACAACCATTATTATATTCCACTTCCACCAACTGCATTTTGCATGAAGACCACCCAGATATATATAATTTATCTTACTCTGCACCTACTGAGTACCAACAAACAGGAAACAGCATTCCGACCTCCATAGGCACAGACCCAGCCTTTTGCTCCTCTCCATAGAAATTGATCCGTTTTGACAAAATATGAATAAATATACCACCAAGCACTACTAACCATGGTATTAGTGGTAATAGCTGAAGACGGGTGTTGTTCCCTGCTGGCGATATCAACATAGCCACGCACATCAGGCTCAGTTTGGAAGGAGTGCAAATACAAATATTTACAGTACAAATACATGCAAAATAATACGAAGTGTAAAGTTTTGCACTCTGCAAATTTGTATTTGTACTCCTTCCAAACTAAGCCTCGAGAACATCTCTTATATTTTATACTGTCATTCATGAAAAATATTTCCAATGTGTAGCTGCATTCACGTGGTGAGCAATGTATTATGATCAGCAGATTCGGGGTGACTTTGCTAGTTTGGTAAGAGTAGTTCCACGTTAGTCATACGGTTACAAAGACATTTACCATTTCCATTCGGTTTTGATTTATTTTAGGCCCATTATTTGTCATTGGTGGTTCGGTTGGTAGGTGTTCCTTATCCAACCAAGAAAGCAAAGCAGTATTTAGGGATTTATTTAGTTAATTACATTGCCGACATTCATTTTCCTTCCAGAGTCCTGCCCTCTCCTGTTACTGTTTAGGCACAGCTGGAATCAAACTTGTGGTGTGGCCAACCTTAGATTGTTCTTCTCTCTGTGGCCCATTCAATGAAATCACATTAGTTAGGCCCATACTTGGTTGTCACTTATCACCCACATTATGATTGGGCTTCAGATCTGGTTCAATGTGATTGTAGCAGCCTATCTCGCTCAACTGTCCAATGGGAACTGGGAAGCTTCAGACCGATCTGACCACACAGTAAGGCCTATGGCCCTATATGGTATATGCTACGCTACCAATATGATGACATCCCACCTGTGGGCTGTGTAGCAATCGGTAGCCGAAACCATGTCCGAATCTCCTGCCCACGAAAACTCTGCCCATGTTTATTGCAATCAAACATGGAGAAGATCTCATCCTCTGTATTATGAAGAGGGAGATGTTCCCAAATAGCGGAGTACCTACCTCAATTTTCACTTGTCGAATGAATAACAGTGCACAATTCAAACGAGGCGAGAATGACGTCACCCGGCATCCCCTTTACATCGCCAAATTGAATCTACAACCAATTCTTTCATCAATAATCCAACCCAAAAGACACGCATTCGGAATTCAAAAGCTTCCATAAAAGAGAGTACTCGAAGGTGCTTATTTTATCTGGGAGCTGCTGATTAATGTATTGGCAAAATGAAAACTTGTTTCAAATGAGAACCCCAAAAGATTTCTTCAACTTTTCAACCTCCAAATAAACTGTGGAGTAAGGGAGGAACTCCGAGAAATGGCTCTTACTCAGATCATTGATTGCAACGGCAAGTTTGGGGATTTCCAAAATTTCCTCATGGGTCAGGCTCCTAACAAACCTTGCAGGATTTCCAGCCCAAAGTTCGCCAGTTGGAATCCTCCTGCCTGGTGGGACTACAGAACCAGCTTCAAGGATGGAGTGAGTTTCCACCAACGAGCCTTCCATAAGAATGGAATGCTGACCTATGATGCACTCGGGCTCAATTGTGCAGGACCGCAACAGACTATAAGCCCCAATTGTGACAAACCTCTCGATCGATGTCTCTGCCGGCAGTCCTGATGAATGAATATAATAATACTCGTAAGATAAAAGAAAAAATGCAAAATTTTCACTCTGCCTGCCTTCTTACCCAAACCAATGGGTCCTCTAAAAGTACCAACACCATTTTGTGGTATGGCACCAAAAATTGTCACTGAATGACGAACATGAACAGCAGCTATCAATGTAGAATGTACTACATCCAAAATGCAAGGCATGAGCAGCATCTCATGTTAGTTATCTGAACAGTAGTTACTGACGAATTAACCCCAAGTGAAGGGATGCCGTATCAGAACAGACAGCTCAATATTACACGTGGCAGCAGTTCAATGTTTAACATAGAGAAGCATAAGTGTCAAGTAAAAGCAACTTTTTAGATAGAGCCAAAAGTACAGGTGGTACCATAGAATTTCCCTAAATTAAATATTGAATGTGCATAGTTTGTTCAACCAATTTATCATTGAACCACGGTGTATGTGAAGAATCAGCAACACCAAAGTAAAACAATCACTTCACATGGTCATCTAAGCACTATTAAACAAACCTAAACATTCCTTGGGAGATTTGGCTTCCCGTCCATAATACATGGATATGATGAGATCGGCTTCAGTCAGACCAAGTCCATGTTCACACCGTTCGATCAGCCTCTTGCCAACTTTACGGTGGGAGTATCTCCCCATGAAATAAAATACATAAAGTATGGAGATATTCCCAATGTAAGGCTGTAAAATCTCTTTGAACGGGCTTTGCACTGAAAATACTTATCATATCCTCTGGTACAATATTGAACCTGACATACAAAGCAATCATGATCCAACAACTAAAAATCTTCAGTAATCCAAGGTATGCAATAAATTTGACCCCAAGGCCAAGGTTCAAAATATCAGTAGAGTATGCCCTGTATCGGGTGTATTGTATACTGTATCGGCAAGGTTTCAATACACCTATTTAAAGGTATTTTCAGGAACCTATTTATTTTATTTATTAAATAATATAAAAATGAAAATTTGACAAAAAAACTAAAAAAGTAAAAAAATGCATCGTATATACACCTCTGCCAATAGACGGAGGTGTATCAATAATTTGAACCATGCCCAAGGCTAAACCAAACCATCCCACTCTATTGACCTAGGTGACCACCTTTTTCAACCTTTCAGATTTCTTCAGACCTTTATCTGGATTTCCATCAATTCCACTCCTTTACAAGGAGGGCGAGGGGATTCTCAACCCTTTCTTTGATGGGTTTGGATTTTTGGTCCTTATTCACCACTTTTAAGTTACAACATATTAGGTCTATGCCAAATGTAAATGAATGACCACCAAGCCATGAATGGCAAAGCAAATAATTGCCTATGTCAAGAAAGATTAATGTTCTTATTAGATCTACAGATGTTTATGTATCCTCACGCCATATTACAATGATAACACTTTTGATAATAATCAGACATTATAACTATATATTAATCAAAGAAGAGATAAATACAACAATAGGTGACAAGGCATCAACCGTCCCCATCCAACATAAAATTCACTCCATGAACCAATTACTATGCCCACCTCCTATAGAAAATCATGCAGAAATGCCCCCCTGACCATAAGTACCTTAGTTTCTCGTTCTCCTCGCAACTCCTGAACAACTGAATTTTGATCCTGCCTTAACCCTAGTTACATTACATCTAGTAGACTCAGCCAAGATTCAAAATTTTTTTTGAATAAATTACAAAGACCACCCTGGTACTATGGTATGGGATCAGTGACAAGTACCCCCTCTACTTGCATTTGCAACAATAACTTCGAAAAGGATTCTCATCTGGCTGTTTAAAGTTTTTAAATGCCCAAACTACCATTTTCTTATTTATTTGGACAGTTTTACCCTTTCACTTACAATTTTTCAAACAATTAAAAATACCAATTTAATTCTAAAAAGAGGCATTCTTCATTAACACTGGAACGCTGCAAACCAAGCCATCCAACCACTCAGGAGAACTAGCAATGCCAAACTCTTCAAAACCACCCCCGCATGAATCGTTTAAGAATTTTGGTCATCATAGATGACAAACTTGTTCATAAGCTACGATCATAAAACAAAGGTTATTCAGAACTCTCTCTTGTCCCCTTCCCTCCTCTCTTCAACTCCATACACATACAGTTTTTCAAAACTCCGACCCTTTCACTAGCCCAAATGCAATTCTGCATAGTCATTGTCATCTTTGTGCCAGGCATTCAGAGACAGGTATGTTAAGCTTCTTTGGTTCTAATCTTCCTGTGTTGCCTAACAAGACACTTAGACCATAGAAGATAATTCCACAAATTCAGGTGGGAGAGAGACAATAAATTGAATAAATTCTAAAAAAATTGCGTAATTATGAAGCAATAGCGGCCCAAAATCTAATGAATTCTCAAAAATTTTATATCTATGATATACATGTATGTTATTTTTATGATTTTATTTTTACAAATGTATGGCAGTTGAAATACCCTTGCCTTAATTTGCTTTTAGTTGGTTAGATGATAAGAACACATTCTAGGCTGGTGATATAGCAATCATAACAATCAAAATACTAGGCAGTTTTGACAAAGTCAAGAACCTTCTTGATAGATACCCTGTTAATCTTAAACTCGCAGTGAATGGGAAAAACAGAAATAGTTCCTATATATCTAGTGTTTTTTCATCATTTGAGGTTTAAATTGGAGAGTGGAGATTGGTCTGGTGTATGGCAATGCCTCTTGCTGATGCTGGTAAGAACGTTGCCGCATTGGGCCATTCACCATTGGCAGTTTGGTTTAAAGTTTGAACTGAAGAGTGGTATGGTAACTCTAGCCCAGATAGAAAGAAACAAAACTGCAAGTGTGCAGCATTATGCCTTGCTTCCAACTTTCCAACTGTCAACAACCACTCAAAAATCAAACGACTATTTTTACACTTTCAAGCCGGTAGCCTCTGTGAGAGAGAGAATGAGGAGGAGGGAGTAGGCACAACTCTCTAGTTCTGGGTTCAAAAGTTTGAAGATAAATAGTGATAGACAAAAGTGGGAAACCAAAAAAGAATAAGAAAGGAGGCCGTTGTTATTCCCTCTTTTTTTTATCAGTAAACATCTATTTTATTTAAATTTCAGATTGGAAACAGTGCAGCCCAAAATAATTTGTCTCATTGCCCCTTGTTTTGCTAGATAGTCAGCTAGCTGCTAGCCCATTTGCACTCCTTCAGACCCATTTGAATTCAGCCTCAACCTCCTTTGCCATCTTTTCCACTTCCCTAATCACATGTTCAAACATCCACGGGGTATGGCTGCTGTTTGTAGCCCAGGAAATGACCACTTTTGAGTCCCCTTCCACCTCAATATGCCTGAATCCTATCTATTTAGCTAGCTTCAAACCTTGTAGTAATGCCAAAAGTTCAGCCCTCAGTGAATTCCCCGTGTCAATCAGTCCTGAGAACACAGCCAGTATCCTCCTTTCAGAATTTCTGATTACTCCTCCTATACCTGATAGTCCCGGGTTTCGAAGGGAGCTCCCATCAAAATTCAGTTAAATCACTCTCCCAGTAGGCCAGATTTGTTTTTATTCTTATCTAGTTGTGTACAAAGATAATACTGCCCCTAATCAGTCGATACATTCTTAACACAGTCTTTCACCAATTCCAATTTTAGTTGAAATTCCCTTTTTTCTGATGGGTGGTTGAAATTCCCTGCTTCCCTTATCAGTTCTGCATTCTTTTACTTAGGCAATTGATAGAGAAGCTCCAACACGAGAAGAGACTGCCTAAAATACGCATCGACTTAGAGAAAACAAGAAAAAAGACTCTTCAAACTGTTAAACTATAAACTGTTCTTTTCTTATCAATCTCAATTTTCTCCAATTTTGTTCCAAAAGAAAGATATTCCACATCACACAAGTGAAGATCCAATTGGAAAAACCAATAACTGGATGGCTCACCCAACAACAGAGGTTTTAGGATATCTAACCGCACTTAGAAAGAGGCCACCTGAAGATTTTTTTCTTCTGAAAGGGGCACAAATAGAATAATAACACAAAACCCAGTTACTCTACTTGTAGGCTAATATGTTGCTTAGTTGAAAACTCCTCATAAACAACAAAACAGGCAAGCAACAAAATTAACTTATGATTAATTGGTGCATGCTGCAACACAATGAATCTCAAAGACATAAATTAAGAACATAAAACAGCTTATTGATAAAAAAAAGAACATAAAACAGCTCAAGTAGCAGTTCGCTGGCGCATAAAAATACAACACAATCGTAACATCTTAAGCAATAATTCAATATTAGTATCATCTCATATTTGCCATGTGCACATTAACATATGCCTCAAGAGAAGAACGATGGTGCTCACTCCATGGTTGCCTAAAAATTGTTAAAAAAAGGCCCAACAACATCATATTTGGTGATATATTTCTTGGAAACCAATGAAGAATTAAGTGGCTCATAAGGCTCAGTTTGGAAGGAGTAAAAATATAAATATGTAGAACGCAAAACCTTATATTTTGTATTATTTTGTATGCATTTGCACTGTACATATTTGTATTTGTACTCTTTCCAAACTGAGCCTATCAGCCTAAGCAATTATAACTTGCGTTTAGTAACCATAATAGAATAAAATACATTTTCTTCAGAACCTCAGGACAAAGGGAAAAAAAGGTACAGTATCAAAGAAGGCTTAACCTCAGACCTTTCTCAATTCGAACTGCATTTGACAACTAGAAGAACCTTCGAAATCACATAGGTGAGTCAATCCGACAATGCAGCTATTCCACACCATTAAAAGGGGTTGTTCAAGTCCTCAAGTTGATTTGTAGGTCTATTTGTTTTCAGAACGATTAAGCGGATTTTTCGGATTACACATATTAGACCTCGTCCAAAAATAATTTGAGCACGTACTATTTAATTTATTTTCCCAAAACGAAATAAAAATCACCGCAATCTCAATAAAAGAAACTCCAAGGCCCTAAGAATCAGAATCAACAGAAATGGATTGAGAACAACTATTCAAACCTGTTGGAGACGACCAAGCCGCATGGAGAACGCATCGCTCCTGCACGTTTGAGCAGAACCCGACGGTGATTTTGTTGAGATCGCCGCGAAGAACCGATCCATTCCAAATGGAAGATCCATCGTTAACCGTAACTTGGCCGGATAGAACTACATTCGGAGCCACATAGGCGTCGACGGCGACCTTAGGAACCCATTGCCCTAAGGGGATTATTTTTCTCTGCCCTCTATAATCCCATTTCACTCGATCAGTTGCAGTTACTTTCGCTGCTTCGGTGGACAGACCACGCGGAAGAAGAGATGAAGGCGAGAGATTAGGTTTTAGGGCTCTTCTGGACAAACGAGCTAGAGTCGCCATTTTCCTTTCCCTCGTTTACGGTGGAGTCAGAGAAGTGAGTCCAGGTTGACGAGTTATGAGCGCTTCAAAGTTCAAACTCGGACAATCTCAGTCACGACTCACAACTCACATATGGGACGGAGGAGGAAGCCGGCGAGAGTGTTATCTCACCCAGCTCCGCTATTGGACATCAGCACAGGATCTTCAGCCGTAAAACGATCCGATCCTTTAATTAATTTGAATCCCGAGGATCATCTAACTGTCTACAACGAAAGGCTTAGGATTTCCATCAGTCCATCGAAATCGGATTTGCTTATCACAGAGCGTGCCACACAGCTCATTGCAGCCGTGCATCGAAAACATCCTATAATTTACCACTTGTACAATGCGTACTTCATTAGGACCCAATATTTTTTTTTTTGTAAAACCATTACGACCAATATCAAAAGATCTAGTATGTGTCTGCTATATAGGCGCCTCATCACCAAATGCTTCTCTCCTGTTTTAAGAAATTTTATTTTGGAGTTTTCTTTAACGGGATAGACATTTATTGATATTTTTTTATGCAATCTCTGATGGTGCCTATGTGTCGTTAATGCCTTTGTTAATTGCTTTTTTTGGTTTTGCAACCATATCAAGTATAAAATATTTATTCAATTAATGTCAATAGAACTAAACACATACCTAATTTATATTTGTCACCGTGGGCATTAAGAGGGAGAGGGGTGTTTTTATCTGATAAATGCCACTATACATTTTCTATTATTGTTGTTTGATTGGGCTTTTTGTGGGCCTTTCAAGAAATAAAGGCACTTTCCAACTTAGCAAAGATAAACGTTTTCTCATCTTTTGCTGTTTAGAAGGGCATTTCAAGAAATGGCCATATGGGTGATTCAGTGTGGCACCTTTCCTTGATATTTGGGTGCTCATTAATCGATCCAATGGTCCAAACTACCCTTGCTTGCATATTTTGAGATCCAACGATTGATTTTGGATGAAAATCACATCCAATAGTCAAAATGACTGGTATAGAGGATGTATGTGTGGGTGGCCTTTATTTGTTATATTCAAATAAAAATTGCCTTTCAAATTGGGTATGACGACAAATAAACATGTGTTTGGTTCCGTGGGTGTTTATGGATAGACTGTTTATTTGTAATTTTTCACTTTAAACATTTTTTTACTTTAAATGTTTCTTGTTTTTGTTGTTTGGTTAAGCTTTACTTTAAACGTTTTTACTCTCCATCTTAGATTAATACCCATTAAAGTGTGCCACATTAGCATTTGGTTTCAAGAAACACTGGGGCGTTAGGAAAAACAAGATTTTGATATTTTCCAAAATGCTTTATGCACAAAAATCAAAGCGTTTTAGTTTTCTATCATTTATTTGATAAATGGTGAAACCAAACAATTGTTTCATTTTGCTTCATCTACAATAAACGCCAATGCTTATGTAGCGTTGATGTGGTAGCGTCTTTTTAATAAACACCCATATAACCAAATACAGCCTAGATCTCTAGGTCAAAGGCGGGAAGAAGAGTGCAAATGGTCTATGAACAAGGGAGACTTGCAGGAAGAATTAATAGATCTAAAAAAAACCAATATGAACTAGCTTACTAGAAGAAAATGAAAAGAGTAGAGGGCCTCAGGGTTGACAACAATCTTATCGGTGCCAACGAATGGGAGAACATGTAGATCTCAAGGTTGACGACAGGAAGAAGACCATAGATGGTTTGTGAATAGGGGAGACTTGTGGGAAGAACTAATAGATCTGCAAATAAAATAAAATAAGATGTCAATATGAATTAGCTTACCAGAAGAAAATGGAAATAGTAAAGGGTCTCAAGGTCGATGACGTTATTATCAGCGCCAATGAACAGGAGAACAGTATACAGTGGCGGTAGTTTTCTCTTCAAACAAACGATGGTGCAGGATTCTCTTTAGATGCGTTAGAGTGTCTAGAAAAAAGGTATAAGTATTCTACTGAGTTTCGTGGTCCGCAATGCATTTGGTCAACCACCTCGGGCCGCCACATCAGCATCCATGTCAGTGCCACGTTAGCCACATGTTTCGAGAAACCCAGGCTATTAAGGGAAGTAGGGGTGAGCATTATTCAGTTAAAACCAAAATACTGAATTAAAATTTCGGTTTCAGTTTTTCCAATTTTTGGGTAATTTGGTTAACCGAAAAAACTGAATTAACTAAAATTTATTATGTAATGTATAATATATAATATATAACATTTAATATATAATATGCTATATATTTATATATTAATATATTATATATAATGTATTATAATGAAATTTAATTTCATAATATAATATATATATATATATATATATATATTATAGGTTATAACATAATATTATATATATTAATTAAATTCGGTTTTTAACCAAAATAACAAAAAATTTTATTTAATTCGGTTCCGGTTCCATTTTCATTTTTTTTATTTCGGTTTGTTCAATTTGGTTTTTAATTGAATAAACTGAATGCTCACCCCAACGGCTCCAGGCACAAAAATCTAAGCATTTCCATTTTTACCGTATTTTCAATAAACTAGTGAACCAAACATTGGTTCAAGGCTCAATAAACACTCACGCCTAGATGGCACAAACGTGGTAGCGTTTTTCCAAGGCTCAATAAACACCCATGGAACCAAACATGTGCCTAGTTACCAGTTCATTTGGTTCAAAAATGAAAAATGCAACTAAGGGTTGGTTTGTTGATATGTCAACAAACTATAGATATAGATATAGATATACTAAACTTTTGAAAAAATCAATAGAAACCTCCCTTTTGTCACTAATCTAGGAAAACGTTAGACCAATACATCATTTTTTTTCAAATACCCATTCCACCCTCTTGTCGATTTCTTTATCTTATAATCTCTCATTCTTGAACTCCATTAACTAGGAACCTTGTTTAAAACTCCATCGACCCAAGAAGAGAGGAACCCTGAAAGAATATTTATCATTTTCTCCTCTTTCAATCTCTCGTTCTTAAAACTCCATCGACTCAAGAAAAGGTAGCAACCACCATTGATTCTTTCAGCCCTGAAACTTACTCCAGTCAAGAAGGGAAACAACATTTGACCACCGGAGATTGTCAAGTAGAGAAGTGAGGCAACGTTTCAGGTTTATGCACATGAAAACACAGATAAAATTTGAACTTTAGCTATAGATTAGAAGGTGAACTATTGCAGGTGGTTGTTCTTCACCGGAAGGTTGGCTGAGAAGTGTGTTAATCAACTTAAAGGCCGCCTAATCTTTTAATCACATCTTGGATTTACGATACTAGTTTTATAGCAGAAATGCCAAATGATGAATTCTTGGGTTTGATTGCATATCAGAAATAAAACTAGTTGTTACACTGTTCTTTTCCCCTTGTTTTTCTATTGAGTTTTATGCATTTATAGACACTTCTGAATGCATCTTTTTTTTCTCGTTTTGGGTCATACGAAATGTCATTTATTGAATCTCTGATTTGGTTTTTGTGGGCTTCAATGAATTTGTGCTTTTATTATTTCTGTGTTTTTGGATTAGATGAAGCATAACTTTGTTTGGTTCCCAATTTCTTATCGGTTGGCTACTGGTTACTCAACTTACAAGCTACCAATGATGTTAGTAACACCTTCAAAGTAAAACATTAACAAGTTACAACACAGAAGAGGAATTGATTTCTTGTCCTTGAGAGCCTTGGTTATTTTTCCATGCGGTATTGGTGAGAATACTCGTATCTATTTGTGAAATGCAATCCTCATAGCAAGAGAAATGAGAAAAAAAAAAAAGCTCTGGTGAAAAATTGCTCGAGGGGGGAACTAGATATTGTAGACAATGAAGAATAGTTGCCGATAAAAAACAGTGGCTGGTGAAAAATGGTTTCTAGAAAATGGGAAATATTCTTAGGTGAATGGAATATTTTGAATGATGGTGCCATGCAAGTGTTTAGTGGTGTTAGGGTTTAAACTCTATTCTTTTGCTCTGAAAAATGACTTATAAAATCGCAAGTGTGATGTTGATCGAATAAGAGCATATTTAGAATTTTAATATATTTCCAATGATGTCCTAACAATTAGTTAGGGATAATTTTGTAATTTTATACGTTTTTCGTCTGGATTAGTGACGAAAGGGAGGTTTCTATTGATTTTTTCAAAAGTTTAGGAGAGGTATTTGTTAAAATTAAAGTAGCCAATGTTAGATTGCCTCTCTTTGCACTATTACCCTAATCCAACAATTCTAAAGGGCATGCAAAATTCCCTTTCCTAGCTATTTATTTGCTAGCTTCTAACTACCTTTACTAAAAAACTTATTGGTTTATGTTTATATTCTAAAAAACTTGTTGTCAAGGAAATATCTTACGGTAGTTCTGAATCATCTTATTTTCTCTCAAGTACATCTCCAAGTATGAGCCCTACAACTGTTGTAGTGTTTGAACAACGACAACCCTATTCAAATGTTGCTCTATGTTTGAACAGTGGCAACCTTATTTCCTGAGCTTGTCTGTCACCTTTGAGACTGAGAACAGTGGCTGCTTGCTTGGATTCACACCAGTTATTGATAATGAGAATGAGGAGAGAGATAAAAGGTGAAAAGAGGGAATAGGAAAGGTTAATCGGCTAGGGTTTACAATAAAATACAAAATGTCGGATCGAGCTGGGCTTTTGTGACATATCCCGAGGTCAAGCCCGCAGGTTAAAGTTCATGCGCAAGCCCGTCCGGGGGTCAGGCCGGGCTGGCCCGTCAGGCTACCCGGCCCATGAATAGGTCTAGTCGTGGAGACAGGGAAGGTGATGAAAAGGTGGGAAGAGAGAGAATAAAGGAGAGAGCCCCACACATCTATCCATATATATAATAGATAATGTGTGGGGTTCATTGTCACGTTATTGTCTTTTTCTTTGGTTTGAAGAAAAGTCACGTTCATTGATCAACTTGCAATTCGCTAATAGGCTTCCGGTTTTGGTAAGATTAATGTTAACTTTGAATCAGAATCATTGGAGGTGATTTCGACCTGTTTTTCCCCTAATGGTTTTTGGGGGGAGGGGGGAGTTGACCATTGACCACCTATGTCCTTCTTTCAGATTTATATGGGATCAGAGAAGTCTATTTTCCTAGGTATCAGCTACTGGGGTAAGTGATGATACCCATCTCTTAGATGGATAAATAACTTTTGTAGGAAAGTTGTCAATATTTAAGTGGGATAAAAATGACCTTGTGATAAGAAATTTTTTTGAGTAAAATAGTCATTGCCTTATTTACATGAAAAATAAAAGAATATAGATAAATACACTTACCTTAGAAAGTCTTTATAAAAAACATTTACCTGGATAAGTGCATTTATTGGGATAAATAATTTATAGAAAAAACGAAACGGGCCTAAATGTAATTTATTGGGAGAATATTAGAAGTCGTGTATTATTCTGTTGGAGGGAATTAGGCAGTGACTACTCTTCTCCTGTGTTCTCTTTTAATGGTGTTAATAGAAGGTTTATTTTTATCTAATCTAGTTAAAAAAGAAAAAGAAAGATGGGTGGTATAACTTTAGAAATTTAGTTAGTTAAATATACAACTTTACATTCAATTAAAGGTTTCGCATTGGACTTAGATAGCACATCCAGAAGCAGACACCCACTGCCCATTACTATAAAAAGAGGCTTCCCCTAGCCTTGTGGTGAAAATATGGAGTCGAATGGTAAGCGCAAAGGGTTTATGAACAAGGGTAAGCTGCTGATGCCTTTGTATCGAGCAGCAAAGCCCTCCTCCTCCTCCTCCTCTACCACGCAATTCAGTAGCGATGCTAAACCAGCAGCTAGCGAACCCATCTCCTTCGACGATATTAGTTGTTGACAAGGAGGTTTCAACGCCTCCTCCGAAACAGAATGTGTCGCCGTTGCTGAAACCGGATGCTGCTGGTCTTCAATTATCCAGTGGCTATGTCGATGTCCCTACTGGTACTAGTGGTGATGATGATGATGATCAAGATATCATGGCCGAAAGCTACATCTCTTATGTCCATGAGCGTTTCAGGCGCGAACAAGCTGATTTGGATGGCGAGACGGATAAACAGACGTACTAGGAGTGATCATCAGTTGATCACTTGGCCCTCTACTCTTTTCATTAAATAAAATTATATTACTCTTCCCAGTTCGTGGACTTGATGAATACGGACGGGTACTTCATTACTGTAGTGATTATATATATGGTTGGCTGCGTTTGTTATCAAGTTTAGTAGCACATATATGTTTAAAGGTTATGAAGCTTGTATTAGTTTTTTGGTTCTGCACCGATCAAAATCTTCTTTAGTTACTTCTTGATTGTGATCAGTTCGTAAAGTTATAGTTAGCAGTGCGTTTGTTATGTAATCTATTATCTTATCAGATGCTTAAGGTTACGAGAAGCTTGTATTAGTTTTAGTTCTTGATTGTGATCAGTTCGTAAAGTTGGCAGTGGGTAGGAATATTTTGCTTAGGAGTTGTCACGACAGGAGATGTGGGTAGGAATATATTGCAGCCACACATATTTTAATTTATAATAGAGACGTGTGGCTGCAATTCACGGCAGATTGGAAAAGTGAGTCAAAAGTCACTCTTTTCTCATATAATTATAGTTATGGTCATCAATAAAATGCAGTTGAAGCTATGGTTAACCGTTAACATGAGTGAATATCCAAGAAATGGAACGTAATACGTTTCAAATTCCAGCTGCTGCGGCGGACTAGCAAACTGAAGAGATGGTCAATCCAGAGGGCATATCTCCGATTTGATAATCAGAATTGGATTGGCCACATCATCTGTCCCCGTGGCTGAGATAGTATAGATTTTCTTGAGGAATTCTGTACGTGGTCAATAATCCAGACCATTCATCAATCATCAGTGAGGTTCCCACCTTAATTTAGGGTTTTGCCAAAGTAATAATACAGCTTTGGATGGGAATTGAATTTGAAGGCCCAAAATTTTAGGCTGTGTTTGGTTAAAGTTCTACTCCAAAAAATCATTATTAGTAGAATGAGTTTAGAGCAAAAATGATTCTTTTTTAAGCTTAATTTTCTTAGTTTCATAAATAAATTCTTAGAATGAATTTTGGTAATGACCCCAAAGGAATATTTGATGCAAAAGCACAGATGTCTTCTATACTGAATTCTTAGAACGAGAGTTTTGAACACAGAAAAAGAATTAGTTCCGATAATTTTCATAAATCCAAACTTAAAAAGTGATTCTTAGAATCACAAAAGTCAACAGAGCTATCGCAGAAAATATAAAAAAAGGATTTTAAACATTCAGTCCACCCTTAGGGTGGAAATAAAATTTCTGGACTGAATCCTAAAATCCACGATCCAAAACAAAAAGTCAACAGAAGTAATTATTTGAATCATCAGCATTCCCACAAGGTATGGACACTAAACGTGGAATCCACAAGTACGGAGATGACATGCATTATTGTGACAGGACCTACTCTATTTCTGCCGGTTGGAAGGATGGTGTAGCCGATCTGAACCATCCATCAAAATAGCAGTGATCTCTGAACCATCACTAAGGCATGAAACTACTAAGGTATATACTAGCTAGTAGCACATCCATATTACTCAAGTATAAAAACATATCCATTCATACAAGGTAGAGAGATATATACTTGTGTTTCCAAACATACAGAATTTACCCATGACTATAGAATTCCAAGATAGGTGAAAGCAACTCAGCAACATTGTATATTGCTTGTGCCTCTCTTATTAGTTATTACAATTAGGGATCGGCTTCATCCTGACCAGGCCTGCTGCTGCAATTCAACAACATTCAACAAGAGTGGAAATAATTCAATAAATGTGTGAATTTAAATTTGTTTATATATTACCATAATCGTATACATTCATCATATATTTATTTGGATAAATGTGATTGTTAATATAATGATGAGTGATATGGACTATCATATGGCTATGATTATCCATCAAAAAGATTGATCAACAATCCTTGTTGAATTGGGATAATGCATTTTACAACGGTGTGTGACAATAAATAGTCTTAGTTTTGAATTTGGAAGGAATACAAATATGTAAAGTGCAAAATTTTGTATATATATATATATATATATTTGTGTTTGTAATCTTTCCAAACTGATCCATACAATACAGTAACCATGCATTCTTATTATATCATAATAATTAGTGCGTCTGGAAGCTGGTTTTACCTTTGAAATGTAAGGCATGCATTACTCCTTCCTTCCCAGAAGCTGGAAATTGAATTCTCGACATGCAACTTTACATCGAAATGCATGTCATCAACAAATTAAACCAAATACAATATTTCTACATTCTTCCCCTTTGATAAATGGACAAAATTACTTTCAATTCAAAATCAACATATATATATATATATATATATATAAGTAATGCTCAAAACTTTACCTGTCTTTGGAGACGAGCATTGTCATTTTGCAATGCTTTCTGCTGCATTTCAATGAATTTATTGCAAGTTAGTCGTAGTAATTAATATTGTTATATAAAGTAATTGTACTGTTCCTATTAGAAGAATTCAAATTGCCCAAAGAGAGTAAGTTTTTTTTTTGGCATGTATTTATATTTTATCCTCACCACCAATCAATATTTAATTATACAAATTAATAGAGTTAGTGTACAAATAGATAATGATTATCTTATCAAAGCATGCATATCAGAACAGTAACGGTGGTGAGGATGTAAACACGTATCCTTAATTAACATGGTAGTCTCCAAATGGTTTCATTCCATTAATTTTTTGCAATATAAAAAATTGATTTCTGTCTCATTTCATTAGTTTTTATCTAATGCATAAACGTCTTGATGAGAGAATCGATCAAAGATTGAAAGCAAAACTCTTGGAAAGAAAAATAATGCATCGAATAGGATTGAATATAACGTGTAACCTATGTGAACAAGAAAACGAAAAGGATAAACCGAATTTTCTGAGAGAATCAAAGAGTGGTGTAAAAGCGAAACCCAAACACTCCCTATACTACTACTACTTCTAGTTCTAGTGCGACAATTAATGCTGAAAAGAGAATCTTTGAAAATAGGACAATACAACCCACCGAGGGAAATTACTAGGCAAGCACATATGAATAACAGGTAAAGCTAGCTAAAATGGGCCTAGCTAGTCCTAGTCAGGACATGTCTCCACCAGTAAAAATTGATCAAGAGTTGCATTTCTGATAATGGGAGCGAAAATAATGATAAAATAAACATCAAAATGCCCAAATCATCTTAACTAGTTTTCTGGGGTACGGAATTAATAAAGATTTCCTCTCTAAATGTATCTGTGCATTGTTTCTATTGATTGACGATTGTGAGGCAATTTCACTAAGAAAAAGTCCTATTCTCCTATACATCGGACTGTGGGCTCATCTCATGGGCCGGACAGCCAACGAAGAATTGAACAATCTGAAATATCCCTAGATTAGGTTAGTAGGGTGAGCCATGGCCCAGGGCCCAAGCTTTAGGTATTCCTTAGGGGGTGAGCCAGTATCGACATCCCCCACCTGTAACTAACACCCATACATCTTATGGATGTAAGGTGTATATATACTTGTTGAATAATCCACCCCAACGTGAAGAAAATCAAAAGAAAGAACAAGCCAAACAACAGGAAAAATTAAAGAAAGAAAGAAAAAAAATCTCCACATGCTATGAGCATATGTTACTGTCAATAAATAAATAATTCATATATCACTGAAATAGGATGAGGTTATTTGAAAGAATTATTGCAATTGAGAAAGCTGTTAAGAGGTTTCATACAATACCTTGATTAGAAACCAATTTCGTTCTTTTGATTTTATGAACCATTCAAAAGGGTGATACGTACTGAGTTTCTCTGAACTCTTTTGTGAATTAGAAACAAATGTATTTCCCTTTTGTGTTTCTTTTGGTTTGGTTGGATACTCACCCTTGTCTTCAATAAGTTGATGCTTTCCGAAATTGCACGTCTCTGTTCAAGAGGATAAGTAATTAGTCAGATAAACCAAGGGTGAAACATCTTCAACAGGACCAAGCAAAGGTTTATTTCTATTTTTGCACTGGTAAAAGTTGAAAACGTGAAATAGAATAAAAGGAGAGAACAAAAACAACTTTAAATGGCTTTGGCTTAGATAACGTTTCATATGTGTCTTATATACAAATAGCTTTAAACCACTAATTAATAAAGGATAATCTTAGATTATGTACACAGAAATCCTAATATTAATTATATTAGGGTCTAAGAAATTCCTAGAATCGGCGCAGTTGGTAAGTTCTCTGAGTGATTATAGCGTTGAGTTGGAACGAAATCACATTGTGAGTTGTGACAGTATCACCAAGGATAGGGGATTATGGGTACGTACGGGCGACGGGCTACCATAGGCCATAGCTGTGGTTTAACTCCATGAAAAATAAAAAGCAATTTGTCAAACTTGCATCGGAATCGGAAACTCCAAGAACCAAAAACGGATATATATGTCTACAGCTAGACCTGAAAGGTTATTGGTCCAATCCAGCCTATCCATATCCAGGTCCATTAATACCTTTTTGTGTGCCAACTCACAAGGGTGGGTACTTGGTCAGGGTTATTTTCTGCTTCGGTTCCACTAATTTTCAAATCATACATACCTGATCGATATTCGTACATTACCTACACCAATTTTCATATGTGTCTTTTGTGGAATAATAAATAAATATTTACCTTTCTGGAGCGGATGCGTTCAACCCCAATCTTCAACTGTCTCTCAAGTTCTTGTAACTCTTTTATGCCCAATAACGAGATATCTTCCCCAGCAAGATGCCTGTAAGAAATGAAGATATTAATCACAACGAAGAACGCTAAATGTAATACAAGTTTTTATGCCCTTTTTTTTTTTCTACTAGGCAGCATTGTTTACACTTCACAGACATGATATAGAAGTTATATGGTGCCTCACATGCCAATGTCTCCACTTATTAATAATTTGGAACCTCATACTTCTCTCAATATGCTTGATTGATGAAAGGTGCCAACCAACTGTTTGGTAAGGTCTCCAGATGATCATAGAACACAGACTCAATGCACACATGTCATCAACCATGAATAACACCACCTCTTGAAAATAAAAATGTTATTATTTCTAAACAAGAGTTGGTATGGTTTTGGAACCATAGCCTTCTCAGAATAACCACGAATTGCACACCCCACCTAAGAGTCTATTAGTTTGCATTGAACTCTGTCCTCCGAATGCTTTTGAAACAGACTCATAAGGGAACATATTCAATGTCGGTACATTACGACGTTCCACATTTTCCACTCATTTACAGCCCGCTGACATACTCACCAAGGCATTGAGTGTCATAAAATTTCAACTGCTATGATCGAGATCCGCTTCTATCAGGGCAAATTTGTGCCCACACCATTCTAACAACCTTTTGTAACCTTGCATTGGGAAAGCTATCCACACTAAGTATGGAGAACATTCCATTCCAAACGGCTGTAACAAATTCAAGAAATGTAGAAGTCTTCTAGCTGGCAACACATAGTCACATGCCTAATTTAGTTTCTCACTGTATCTATAAATATCGAACATTCCTAAATGAATACTTTTCTCTTCTGCCATTCAGTTGTTCATTTTTTGTTTACATCGTCCAAAATCACCTAAAACTGGTGTGAAAGTATCATCGTCCAAAATCACCTAAAAACTGTGATAGTGGTGTTTTCTAATATACCTAGCTAAAAATATTACTCTTTCTGGAGTATAGATTCTATGAGAAGCAAGTACATAACAAATATAAACAATTTTATAGAACAAACCTTTCAACGTAGATGAACCTCTCACAACAACTAAATAGAGAACCAAAAATAATCCTTTTACCACAAATAATGAATGAACAATACTTTTGACACTTCTTACCCCTTGAGAAGCATGATTGTATCACTACTGTCTAGAACCGGCAATCAATCAAATATAAAGGTTGAAACAAATGGTATCATCCAATTATGGCATGGATTCAGTCGTTGGACTAGGGGGCAAGATACATCTTCCCTATTTTGTCCTCACCAGCTTTTCAATTAGAGCTCCTTGTGTTTGGATTTCATGTCCAACATCAAGGAGAGGGGTAAGGGATTTTCGGAGTGAATGTTGGGATTAGTTCTATATTTAATATTAGTGGGGCGGAAATCCCAATATCGAATATGATGACAAAGGGATTTAATGGAAAGATAAACCCTTATATCATTTGTTGAAAGATAAAATTGGAGCAATATTTATAATATTATAGACTTATAACTTAAGACTTATTACTGAAAGTTCAAACTTATTTTGAGTACTGTTATTGAAAAGTAATAATATTTTTAGTTATTCAAAATTTCAAAAAATATTTATAATAAATATCTGGTAATTATTAGTTATTTTAAATTATAAAAAAATATTCCAAAATCTACTTGAAATTGTAATAAATATTCAGTAATCATTTTGAATTTTTATATTTTGATATTATTATTTTTATTTCCAATAATTTCAGATTTCAAAACAATATTTAAAACCAATTATCATCAGAATTTTCAGAACTTAAAACTACTAAACTTTCTGGTAACAGTAATTACATTAATTTATAAAAAAAATATGAAAATTTGAAATCAATAATTAAAGTTTGTAAAAAATTCAGACTTATTGTAAATATTTTATTATTTCTGAAAGTAATAATATTTTATTACTGTAAATATTTTATTGCTTAAAATAATAATATTTCCAGTACTATTATAAATTCAGACTTATTGTAATAAATATTCAGTATTATAATGTTATAATATTTTATTACTCAGTGTAATAATTAATATATTATTACTGAAAACAAGTAAAAAATATAAATATTCAATCATCATTAATTATTTTAAATGTTTATAAATATTGATAATAATTAAAATAAGTAATTTCAATAGCCATTAACAAATTTCAGTTATTTTCAATAATTATTTTGAAATTTCAGATTTCAATATAATTAGTTATCATTTTTCACTTTTTAACTTTTTTTCCTGAAAAATATACAATAATTACTAACATAATAATTACCTTTTACAGTAATTACATTAATTTATAAAAAATGTGAAAATTTTAAAAGTCAGACTTATTGTAGGTAATTATTCTTACTAAATACTGAAAATAATTACTGACATGATATTTTAAATTAAGTTATAATATGTTATTCAGTATTATAATAATTATAATATTATAGATTCAGACTTACTGTAATAAATATTTAGTATTATAATATTATAATATTTGATTATTCAGTATAATATTATAGATTCAATGATGATTACTTATTTTAAATGTTTATAAATATTGAAATTTTGGTTATTATTATTAATAAGTGATGATTATTTATTAACTTATGTAATTAATAGTTATTTAGTTATTAATTAATTATTAGTAACTTAGTTAAATACATTAATTAATTGTTAATGTAATTAATAAATGCTAATTAACATAATTAATTAATTAATTAACAATTAATAAAACCGGTGTAGGTCGGTTTTAAATACCATTCATTAATAATTAATGATCAATTATTAATTAAAATAATTATTATTAATTAACATTTTATGTAGAGTCATCTACATCGGTTCAAGAAGTCTATACTGGGCTGGTTTAATATCGAAGTTGGCTTGAAAATGTGCCAATTTAATAATGGATCGGAACCGGTGTAGACCGGTTTTATTAAAATTAATGGGTCGGATCTATGTCAGAATGCACAAAATCCAACCCGAATAGTTCATCTTCTTAACGACTTAATCCGGATAGATGAACACTGCTATTCGACACAGTCGACGTTAACCGACCGTGGAGTGTTCTATGGCCAGTCTTTCTGTCGCATTCAGGCCAAAAACATGTCAGAAAAGTCTCCGGTGACTGTAGACAGTGAATGAGTGTAAAAGTTGTAAAAAAACGGTGAGAAAATGGAAAAAAAAAATCTACACCATTTGAACCTTAACACAGTGGCAGGAAAACCAAACTTGGGGTGAGTTTTTGTATCCATTTCACTCCCAAAATACGTGGGAGAACGTCTACGGTAGAACTGGGTGTTTGAGAACAAAAAAAAAAAAAAAAGTTTGAGAACACCTACCTATGTTTGAGTTTCAAATGGCGCCCAGTGAGTGAGATTTCAACTGACCAAAAATGGACGGAGATGATGATTAGTCCGAAAAACGACTGAGGCTACAGCTGGGCATTCCAACCAACCACTTCCCAGCTACCAAAAGAGATCGCAACATTAATCTCCCCTGTTTTGGCTTGTATAATTAAGTTTCAAAACACAGATTTAGAATATGAAAAGGAATACCGCAACAAGTAGTGCAAAGAGAGCACTATACATACCTCTTGGAGTGAAAATAACACAGAGGAGCGGGTACAGGAAACCAAAGCAGTTGGAGTGAAAATAACAAAGAGAAGCTGATCTGAAGAAAAAAACAGAGGAGAGAAAAATTGTAAAGAATGGTGGAATGGAAAGAAGAGAAAGCTCCTGCCATTGTTGGAATGGAAAAAAGAAAGAAGAAAAATCCGGAGACCTCTTAGAATCCGAACTAGCCACGTTCTCTAAACCATTATTTCCATATAGGATGATTCAAAAACTCTAGTTCGATCAATTACGTGAAATCCGCTTCCCACTTCTATCCAATATCGAGTTTTCCTAACAAAACATGTTCCTTCTATCTTCATCAACAGTGTGATGGCAGTTTGAGATTGATGGGAAGGGGGAGAGAGAGAGAGAATTAAGGAGAGGTTAGTATAATGGGTTTGGAGCAAGGAGAAGCACGATGACAGGAGTGTTTGGTTATATATGGTTGAAAAATGGTTAAATTTTTTGTTTTTTCTTTGTATAAACTCTTATTTTTTTGTCATGTTAATCATTTGATTACCTATGAATAAATAAATTAGATTAGATTGAATCAGATTTAGATATTCGACATCCTTAACATATACGAATTTAAATTGATCCTTGTGAGATCTATTGGATCTGATCAGATTGGACATAAGATTTACATTATGGGATCGGATTCAGATGTACACCTATCCAAGGTTCAGTACTTTTTTTTTTTTATAAGTTTTGTTCATTTATTTTTAAAACGGGTTCAGAGGGGTTGGTTTAGGCTCGGCTACCCTCTGAATCATGGTCTGGCCCGATACAATCCGGGAGAGGCATATCGGGAAGCCATCGGCACAATACTCACCGGCCATTCATATTGATACTTTGAAGTTTGAACCTTGCACCTTTATCCGAATTATATCTGATCCGTTTGCATCCTTATGAACAACCCATCAACCCAGAAAGGTGTCCAGGTCTCGGCTTGGCAGTTCAATTAGACTGTTAGTGCACAGATCCAGTCGAAACCATAAAAAAGCCAGGCCCCGGTCAGCTGTCCAGGTCATGGGCTCATTGCTTCAACCGCCCGATACAACGTCGTTGGTAGAAATTTGGGCTACGGATCTGCTAGAATTAAACATGTTGCGTCTGTCTGTATATATGGTAGCTTGTTGAAAAACTATCTCCAACAAAATTCAAAGGATCGAATAAAAAAAAAATAGATGATCAGAGCCTTGGAGGTCATGTTATTAGGAAATTAACTTACGAATACTCTTATACAAATAAACAAGTGTAAAGAAACTGATCGTTGTCCTCGTAATACACGTTTTCCATGTTATGCTGGTATATATATTGCTTACCTGTGCCTTGCCTCCAAGGTCTGTATCGATTTCCTCAAGTCCTCGATTTCTTCTCTCCAGAACTGTGATCATTAAGACAACAGAATCAGAATGTGAGTAGTAGCTGAATCTGACAAGAGAGAGAGAGAGAGAGAGAGAGAGAGAGACCTGTGCTGTTCTTGATGTCTGATTATTGGTCTCAGGCTGAGCCATTCTGACTTCATAGCGATAGCGCGCGAGTATCCTGTCCATGCTATACCCGATAGCAAAAACAGAATATAAATGAGAAATTAGGGAAAAAGAAGAGATTAATGTGTTTATCGAATATAGAACAACAATTGAATGATGAAGGTAGCGAAGAAGAAGAAGGTACTCGGGATTGGCAAACTGGTAAAGCTTGCCAGTAGGGGAGAAGATGATAAGGGCGACTTCGGCGTCACAAAGGATGGAGAGCTCGAAAGCTTTCTTCAGGAGCCCATTTCGTCGTTTAAAGAAGGTTACTTGCCTATTTGTTGTTTTCTCAATCCTCTTAAGCTCTACTCTTCCTCTTCCCATATCGAACTTCAGCTCGATCGTGCCTTGGATTGGGTTGAGAGTTGAGACTTTGAGACTTTGAGACTTGAGGGAGACACTGAGTGGAAATTAAAGTTGAAAGTGAGAGAGAGAAGCCGGGTGATCAGGATAAATAATAGTTGTTTCATTTGGTTTTGTAGCCAATCAGGAGTGTACACGTCAGTAATCCGTTTATACGGCCAAATTCGTAGCTGCTACAGATGACCCATTCGATTTATATATATATATATTGATCCCTAAACAGTCATTGGGAATACCACTGCTGTGCTGTGCAATGGGAATATCTTAGTTAGCTGATATGTCTACGGCTTCATCGCATTCAGATACACGCACTGTTATTACCAGAGTTAGATGATCCAATAAAATATCAACACGTAAAAAAGTAGATAATCTGAAATTTTGAATTTTAAATAAACGGCACAACACATAATCCAACTTAATGACGTCAATAACACTATCACTGTCCCCTGATGATTTGATTGATAGAAAAACTAGAATAAACCTCTCATATCTTACCGTGTCTATCATTCATTGGCTCAAAATTCAAACCATATAGCTGTTACTTGAGGTTGTGAATTGATATTAATATTCCAATCTTTATCACCACTATATATTTATTGATGATTTATTCAATCAAATTCAACCCTACATGCACCTCATCTTTCTTTCAAACCAAAAACGGGACACAGTCTTCTTATTTTCATACCTTCAAATTGAAATACAAAAGTTAAAATGGATATTATCAAATGCATTAAATTAATTAAGTGGTAATGGTGTATGTATACATCCATAATCAGTCAATATTCGTAATCACAATTTAGTTTAGTTTGACTGAGACAAATCTACAAAGTCCAAACTCACTCCAAACCCTATCAGAAATATATTTTATTTTTCTTACTTGTCACTCAGTAGTCTGTCCGTGGCCGGAGAACATCCGATGCAAAAATCTGAATTTCAGCCCCCCCCCCCCCTTAATGTTTGCCCTTTCCCTCTCTATAAATCACATTCTACCCGTAAATTTAGTATTAATTTACGGTCAGTATGCATTCCCCTGTAATATGGGGTTATAAAATTCTGATCTAAATCTAAGCTGATTGGTCATTCTCCCAAACATTTATATCCTGATCGATCCGGTTATATAGTAGCAGTACAGGCTTACAGCTTGGGTCTGACAGGACGTTTGCAATCTGAATATACCGCAAATCAACATGACATCAAAGTTTTCCGGTGAGCGCGCACTCATTGGAAGCGTCCTACGTAAGACGTTTACATTACCTAGAACCAGAAAAAAAAAAAAAAAAGTAGAAAATTATTGCTTCCAGCCAATGGGTGAGTGATACGTTGTGATACCCAACAGCTTACACAGCGAAAGCGCTCTCCTGGAATTGAATCATCGGTACTGGTCTGTGACAACTGACAAGACAATATTGGAAAGCCTGACAGACAGGCACATTCAATCGTGTATTGATTGAAAACATTTTTCATGAATAATAACATAAAAATACGGAAAATGTTTTCGATGGTTGTTCCCGATAGATGGTCAGATGTGCCCGTGTGGTTGGTGTGAGGTGCGCTTCGTGAGGAATAGATTCGGACACCTTCGATGTAAAGGCCGTGGGATAGCCTGTTGCAGGAGGTACTGGAAAGACAGAGAGATAGACAGGATATTATTAATTTATGACCAAACTCCAAACCTTCAATGGCAAATAGACACGTTTCTCATTCCCGAATTATTGACCTTATTTTTCTCGATATGAAATGTTCTTTTGACATGTCCTTTTAATGTAAAAAGAGGAATCTGAACTCATGATGCACCATTGTATTGTGCAACGTGTCGAGTTTAGCTTTTCAGTTTGATCAATTTTTTATACTTATTTATTTATTTATTTTTTTTACATTGGAGCCAGCAACTCTGGGACCCATATTGGCATTTTTCGTGTATATCATCAAGGCCCACCCAAACGTATAATGCAGCCTGTTTCCCAAGAGTCCTGATCTCTGTTCACACAAATTCTGTCTACGTTTACCCACACATAACATTGCAGTCATATATGGAAAATATCTCATCCATTTACAAAATATTATACTGGGGCAGATCTTCTCAATTCACGGGGATAATGTATTGTGGGATTTCGATAACCTAGCCAGAATTCTCAGGGCCAAGAGATTTGGAGTCGCGCCCTGATGAAGGGTGATTTGGCCCGATCTCATAGTTTGGGGATACATGTATATGACCTGGCCTAGTGAACAGCTCAGCCTGACAGCACGACCGTGACTCGATGGGAGAGACATGCCGAGTCCAACACCGGCCAATCGACGAGTTAAGCAACTCGCCGGGACTGACACCTGGCTAACTTTGACTCCCACCAAGCGTGGAAGGTCCCGAGCTCCCCCTAAGGGGCCCGGAGCTCTCCCTTCCCAAGGAGGAAGCACCCCGGTTCTTGGCTAAGTGTCCCGAGCACTTCGAGGCAGCACCGCCCCTAGTGCAGGCACCTCGGGGCAGCACCGCCCCTAGTGCAGGCACCTCAGTACCGAGGTAAACCTGCCCCAGGAAGTCCGGTACGCGGTAGCCCGGTAGGCTGTGGGGAGCCCTGTCTAACATCCGTACCCGCTGGACCCGGTGGCAGGGCTCTGATCCCTTGCTAGGTAGCGTTCTGTTTGCCTCCTTTGGAAAGCATGACACGTCTGTCATGCCCGTACCTGGCGATGGCAGTCTGTGGCGACAACCTGCGCCTGCCACACCTGACCTGGCAGTAACGGCAAGGGCGGTGGCGGTTATGCCAGGTATGACCAGGCTCCAACATAAAAGAACTTGAACTCTCACAAGAAAAAGGTATTGAATCTTAAGCACTTTGAACACTCTTACTCTCTACTCTCTCTTTGAGATTTTTCTCCAGTTCCAACTTAGTCATCGAAGTATTCCCACCGGAATAACTCCCCAGGAGCCCTTCACTTTCTCCTTCCTATTAAATGTCGTTCGTCCCAGTCAGAAGCCAGGTCCCAACCAGCTAGGAGTGCCTAGATCGTGCAGCATCACTCCCCATACCCTTTACCACCACATCCTATATTGGTTCTGGTTTTGTTTTATGTTCATCTGCGCGTCTGCAATGTATATAACAAAACAAAGTGAAACCTGAAACAAAAGGAATAATATAAATAATATTGCACCGTCTGAAAAAAGGAAAGTAGAATGTTGAGGATAATCAATAAATGCATATTAACACTATTAATCTGGATGGAGAAAACTGTATTATATAAAGGTAATTGGATTTGTATTTACAATTTGCACAAGTATTTTATTGGATGCTTAGAAAAATGGGTTCGATTATGATATAAGATATGATATCTTAAAATATTTTGACCAATCAACTGGTGTCGTAGCCAATCAGGTGTTACTAATCAAAATTCATGGTCAAAATTCTTACCATACCATATCTTTTTCCCATCATAGATTTTCTTTATAGGCAAATGAAATGATTGCATTCATCTCAACAAGCTATTTTGAGTGGATATTGGACTTCATGCAATCCGACCCATCTAAGCCCAACAAGGAATTGGTTCAATTTAAGTCCAATAACAGGTACCAAAGAAAATACACGGAGTATAAATCATAAAATTAATAGAAAGGAAACAAATAAATCCACTTTACCAGAAATCCATGTCTAAAGTAAAGTTTGAAGTCTTATATATCTATACTACAGGGGACCCATGACGTGTACGGACTTCAGTTTGAGTGGGCCCCGACCCAACTCAACCAAAGATTTTACATAGGTTGGGCTTCAGTTTTCAACTTCGAATTGGGCTTAGGCTAAAAAGCTAAAGCTTAACCTAAATTCAGGTTGGGCTTGAGTTGAGGCCTTGGGTAGCCTGAGCCCGATTTGACCAATTTGATTCTGCTCAACATTTTGTGATATACATATCTACATATTATCTATATATTCTACCTAGAAATTGGGCTACAAAGCTCAACACATCCAATCCCAAACCCAATTTGAGATGTTGGGTTAAAGCTTGGGTTAGGCCTAGGTTGGTAAGAGAAAAATTAGTGGTAATTTTTAATAATTACTGATAATTTACTAATATATAATAAAAATATAATGAGAATAATTATTGATAATTTACTAACCTAGGCCTAAGTTACTAAACTTAGGCCTAACCAAAGCTTAACCTAACATTTTGGGTTGGATTTGGACTTGGGCTTATTGAGGTTTATAGCCCAACTTCCAGGTAGAACATATTGATAAAATTGGGTTGGGTTGGGTTGAGTTTAAACTACCCGAGGCTCAACCCAAACCCAACTTGAGTTTAGGTTAGCCATGAGTTTTTTGGCATAAACCCAGCTTGAAGTTCAAAATCTCAAGCCCAACTTGTGCAAAAGCTTGGGTTGAATTGGGTTTGGTTCGAGCTAGGCCCACCCAATCCAAAGTAGACCCCTAACTCCTTTTGCCTCAAATTCTTTTAACAAAACTCGTGCTTCGCTTGGTCCCCCTAGTAATTAATTGAACTAATATTAATCTATAGTTACTATTAGTAATTAATAGCACTCATTTTAACAAAACTCTGAATTTATAAAACTATTTCTATATATAGATTGATTACTATTATCAACAGTAATAATAGTTAATTTGATAATAAATTCAATTATTCATGAAAAAATTATTAATTTTTAAATTTTGATATTAATAAAACAATTAATTGTTATTGGTATTTAATTAATTTGTTGGTAATATATCACTAATTAACTAATCATGAATTATTAATATATCACTAATATTGATTACTAAAAATAGTAATATATTTTGGTATTAAATTTTGGAAATTTTTAATAAATCATGGATATAAATAATAAATTTTAAGTGAATTTTGGTATTTTTTTAATTAAACCTAAAAAGAATTAATTAATTTTGGCAAACTATAAATAAATTGCCGATAATATTAGTAATTAATCCCAAAAATATTACTAAAATAAAAAATATTAATCATTAAAAATAGTAATATTGTTTGAGAATTTTTAATTAATCATGAAAATAATTAATTTATTTTGGTATGAGTTATTATAAAATGAAATGAAAATTTTAATTATAAACAATAGGTAATATACCAGTCAAAGTAAATGGGATGTAATTGGGTCAAATTAATGAAAACCAAACCATACCTAATCCAATAAACCACATCACTTTAGTTAAATGGATCGAAGAGAGAGAGAGAGAGAGAGATGAGTTGAGGAAACTAGATTTAGTCAGTTCAAAGCTCATTCGAACAATCATCATAGCCATGTAGTGGGAATATCTCCCCATGAAATAAAGCACTGGAGTACGGTGATATTTCCAATGTAAGGCTGTAAAGGTTGTTCGAACGAGCATTGCACTGACTGAAGCTGACCTCTGAGTTGAGCTAATTAAGGAGAGTAGTTATTTGGGAAGATAGAGTGAAAAACATGAGTTGTAGAGATAGAGATTTTAGGTAAAATGTATTGAACTAGCTAATTTGGAAATGAAGATAGAGGGTGCTGAGTTGGCTTAATATGAGGTGGTAACGGGAGAAGTGAGAGAGTCAAGGAGAATGCAAGGTTCGGGTAATAGAGCAAGGAAAGGAATTGGGATCTGCTCCTCACACAAGGCGCCTCACACCCACCTAGTCACATCTCACCATGTATTGGGAACATCTCCCGTGAATAATAAAGTATAAATACGGGAGATGTTCCCAATGCATGGTGGAATATGCCTGTAAGGTCGGTGTGAGGCTCCCTATGTGAAGAGCAGATATGACATGGTAACGTAGACCATATATTCTACTACCTATTGACCATTTTGGTTAATCGTTCTTTGAATAAGACAAAGACCTGGACCCGACATTGGGTAGCCTCTCGTTTAGACCTGTTCATGGGCCGGGTAGGCCAATGGCCCGACCCGCACCCCGATCGGGCTTGGACATGTAATTAGGCCCGCGGGTCTGACCTCAGTCCCAAAACACCAAGCCCGATTGTGTGTCGGGCCAGGCTCAAGATTTGTCAAAAAAGCCTGGCCTGGCCCGACTCATTTATATAATATAAAATATATAATTTTTATTATAATATATATATATTAATAATTTAATATATACATTTTTTTATTATTTTTCTTTATAATTTCTTTCTCTCTCTCTATATTGAGTTGCTTCAGCAGTGGCATGAGCTATATACTTTGGGCTCGGGCCCAAGCCCGGGCTTTGAGATTTTTATGAGGGTCGAGTTCGGACCCAAGTTGCAGGCCTAATGGTCAAGCCGGGCTTGGACTTGAGCCTTAAAAAAATCTGTTAATGCAAAATGAAAGCCCAACCCGACTCATGAACAGGTCTACTGCCGTTATGGATGCAGCAATCTTGAAACCGAAGCACGTAAGAGGGCCCAACTATCACGCATGAAATGCAGGCCTGCAGGGTAATTTATGAAGGCCCCAAGAACAGGACTATGGATCTGGACCTCATGGAGTCATGGTTAAATTCTTAAGTACACGTATCCAATATAGGGATTAGGGATGCATTGGATGAGCGTCTACATTTACCGACCAAATGAACAAATTCCATTAGATTCATTGTAACACTTCTTCCACGTCCAAAGTTGCAATTCTTAGAATAAGCACCAGATCCCATGATCAAAAGTAACTCTCAATTTGGTCTTCTCTTTGCTTTCACCCTTATTTAGAACAATTTTTTACTGATTTCTCCAACTAACCAAAGGTATATAAACACAAAAATGAAAAAAAAAAATTGTGGGACTAAATTATAGATTGATACCTATCCTTTGGGGTAGTGATAGATAGGTATCATGAACTTGCAAATATGACAGTTAGGCCGTGTTTGATTGTAATACAAATAAATTTTCACTGATGCAAAAGTATGACAGTGCAAGTGATTTGAGTGTAAATTTTAACCTATTTTTGTTTCAAATTTTAACTTATCTTGTTTGAATGTAGTATATATGAAGTAAATTAAGACATGAAATAGAATAAAGCAAAAAATTTAAATGAGAATTTGCATTTTTTTTTTCATTTGCACTCCATTGCTTTTATACTAATACAAATAAAATTGCACTGCAACCATATACAGCCTTAGGCTCAATTTAGGAATAGTGCAAATAAAAATATGTAACAACTACATACATTGCAAATATAAAGTTTAGAAATATTATATTCAAGCTTTTGCACATTAAATAATATAACTATTTTAAAGTTTGATGACAAAAAAAATGTTTTGCACTGTATTATTTGCAATTTTCCCAAACAGAGCCTTAGTACCCTGAACTCCCAGAAATAAAACATTGGTTTATTTTGGAAACCGTATATTTTTTTTTCTCAGGTTTCCTTCTTAGGCCTGAACTATAGCAAAGGTGGATTAATCAACAAAGAAGAAAAGGGAATTCATTCTCAAATTTGACTTTTCCACATAGGTGCCCTATATTTTCGGGGTAAAGAGAGATCCTGAGCTTTCAAATGTGATACTTGAAAATCCTGAACTCTTAAAAATAGACATCCTAATTTATTTTGAAATTCTTATTTTTCTTCTCAATTTTCATTTTCAAGCCTAAACTACTATAAATGTTGATCAATCAGCAAAGAAGAGAAGGTAATTCATTCCCAAAGTCTAGCTGATTGTAGGTGAAAGTGTCAATTAATCTGATGAGATTAAGTTGAATGGGCCTACCCGGATTTGTGTAATTAGATGAGATTAAGTTGAATGAGCACTTAGACTATCCCTTAAAATACCTCCAGCCCACCGTTCAAAAAATAAAATTAAAAACCACCTTTTAACAACTCTTTCGGACCATTTTCTATGGTAGCTGAATCCCGAAGCCCAAGCTCTATGTTTTAAAACAACCCTTATGATGGGCAACTGAGGAGCATAGGATACCATGGGATTTAAAATTATATACCGTAGAAATCACCACATCTATTAGGAACATACTGTATTGAGAAAAAAAAAAAAAAAAAAAAGCAGTAATTGGTGGGCAGACGTCCAAATCTTTGACATAAGTTGAAAGAAAAAAACAAATGAGGGAAAGGTGTTTTGTTTACATTCCGTGACGTGAGAATGATATGAGATGCATGCATGGCTCTGGGAATACCAATGTGGCAATGCCCAGTCCAATGAGGGGTTAAATCACCTACATACAGCCAAGGTCGATCTTCTTGTCAACTAACTGATTCTTACACCGAAAAGTGTAATTACATCCTTCTGCTCTTCCCGCGGTGGGCCTGGTGGCAGTTCTGGTGATTCCAAAATCGTGGGTGTCTTGTCATCCTCCGGCAACTTGCTGCAATATTCCCTGTCCGACGACCCAAACTCGTAATTCGGTGGCAGAGACAAACCAAGTTGAAGTTGAAGGCCCACATGCATCCCCATCAAACCTGCAGAGTCGACGCCTTGGCTTTCATTGTACTCTACATCAATCATGCAGAACGTAGGCTCCTCTCCGAAACAACCTTCCCTCCTCTCGCACCTGTAGAATGTAATAATGTCCTTAGCCTTGAGTTTCTTTTCCTTAACGAATCGGCTCCAACCCCTGGTAAATACGAAGCTCTGGCTACTTTTCCAATAGCAGTATCGAAACTTCCACGACTTCATCCACTTGTCGTAGAAAACCAACTGAACATCATCCACCCCACTGCCACCCTGATCATGATCATCCTCTTCCTCGGAGCTATGTTCAGGAACCGGAGGAAAGTATTTGACGGCATATTTCTTTGGAATAACAAGCCTGTTCAGCTTCCCCACATCGCTTGGTGTCAACTCCTTTTGGAAGAGTTGTTGACGCAAGAAACCCCTTTCATTGTTGACACGACCCCTCACCAGGTTTAATCCGATTTCGTTGTCCATCCCTAATGACCGAGTCCTCACATATTCCGCGAACTTGGACTGGTAGGTACCTTCTTTAATCATATTCAACACCGATTCCGTGGTATGGAGTTCCTGAAAGGTTGGTTCTAGTAGACTGAGGTTCGTCCATGGGAAGTTCCTGTGAGAGTCTCCGCCTCGTAACTTGATGGCTGCACTGTCGTAAGCCATTGCTGCTTCCTTCTCTGACTTGAATGTCCCAAGCCAGATCCGTTGGTGGTTGGTATATATTTGGGCTCCCCAATGCCCGTTTTGCTGTAAGACGACTCCTTTGAATCTCACGGAAGAGGTTGGATTATTATCTTCGTCATGTCTTCGACGCTTGGATGGGCGGAATGGGTTATTGCTGCTGTTTGAATCCGAACCTTCGGCAAGTGCACTGATTCCAGTGTCTGAAATCATGCTTACGATTTGTTCTTCGACACCGATCCTGGATGAAAAGTAGAGGTGATGATCAGATGAGAATAAATATTGAGCATTAATAATTTCTATCTATCAATAAAATATTACGGAGAAGTACGGATACACCCGATGCTATATATAGGAAACTGCAGAAAGAAGAAATTAACCCTCGAAATGCTCATTTCAATAATTCTACATTGAAAATGGCCAAATGGGAAAGCAAGCCAATGATAAAAAGTATAAAACAGTGTTGAGATGGAAGTGAAGAAGGATGTAATATGCAAAGGATGATAATCTGATTACATTGAATGAATAGAGAAGAAGTGAACTTTAGGGTTTAAAACCTCACATGAAACGGAAGCTTAGCTTGGAGAGAAGCAATATGGCGTTATAAAGGAGAAACAACCAAAGGACGACTTGAGACGAGAGCAAATTGAAGGAAAGATTACGATATTCTGGCTGCAAATTAGCGAGAGAATGTGGCAATCATCATAAATAGCAGAGATCTTGTATTGAATGAAAAAGGAAGTTCTGTATTCGAATTAGGCTAGTTTTGGAAACTAGGCCAAATTAGGTCGAAGTTGACACCTCCCTTCTTACACAAACCGAGTGGCGGTGTCTGAAGGTAGGCAAAATAGTTAATTAATTGTGCTAGAAAAAAACAAAACACCTAAACTAATTTACGAAAAAAAGGTTCAGTATAATTGGGTGCCTTTAAAACCGTCCAGATCGAATCAACGTAACGGTAGTATTCAATCTGACGGTTTTAAAGCCCAGCCTCATATGCGGAACCTCCTACGATCGAATTCACACAAGTCTTCGCTGGTTCTGTTTTCCTATTTGACCTCGCTGTTCCGTGTTCCTCCTGCTGCTTATTTTGGTGATCAGATAACTAAACAATGTAATATTTCTTGTTTTTTTTTTCTTCTTCTTTGGTTTTCTATATATGCTGTTATTTAGATGCAGGTTAATTATTGTACTTCCCAATTTTAGGTAGAAGGGAAGAGGCGCGCCATTTAATTAAGCACGTATGATTGGAATAAATTTAAAACTTTTGGAATATAATGGATATCCGAACCTGCAGGTAACAAACAGTAATGGACACATTACAGTTTTTGTGGATTATGCCATCAAAGATCAAACCTCAACACTACTTGAGTTCTGAAGAGGCACAAAATGAAGATGTGCCTAGCGTTGTCTGTCACGAGCAGAACGAGCAGGTCTGCTTATTTATTTATTTATTTTCTTCACACTAGAGACACGGTGGTAAGTAAAGAAAAGACATGTTGAAGCAGATGATGTAGGTTATAATTCATGAGAAGAAAATGCGCTAGCTCCTTCAATCGTTTACTTGATAGATAATTAATATACTTAGATTACGTAAACTGAAGTGAAGTGGGCAAGGTTTGATTTTTTTTGAAAATGGGCAAGGTTATATTGTTACATGCATACAGAATCTCCTCCATTAGTCTACAGAGTTGGATATTTTAAGAGTCTCTCAACAAATTTCTGAATTGTATGTTTAGAATGTAAGAGTGATGATTTTAGGACCTATAACAACTTCATCAGAAGACACAAACCTTAAACTTAAAAAGTATTCTAATATTACATAAATTGTATCAATTCTATTTTTTTATGCCATGCACCAATAATAACCCCCCCCCCACCTTTCTCCAAATCGGCGGTAATGGTGGAGAAAACCAGAAAACCAGCTAACATACCAATAAGCCACTCCTCGGATGCATGGTAATGCATTACTATTTTCTTGAACACCAACAAAATTCGACCAAAGGTCAAATATATTACAAATTTTAATGGCAAATACATATTTTTTTTATAACTGTTGTCCTTAAAAATTTATAGATAAGTGTTTCTTTCTACTATACTTTTGTGTAATTAGATTAGATGTGTGAAAGATATATAATGTAAAAATATAAAAGAAATAAATAAAGGGTAAAATGTAGATTAATTAGTACCCCAGTACGTACTTTGATATGGTGTAGTCCTTGTATATCAAATTGTCCAAGAAGGAAAGGTGATCAGATACTGCTTTCATTGTATATATTCAACTTTGATATGGTGGAAATATTAGCTGGGGATTTTTCCCCTGCTTCTTCTGTTGTAGATATGCGGTGCCATTTCAATAGACTAGATGGGGATCATTAGGTTAAGACCATAGATTATCTGTTACGTAGATGGTAGGGTTAAAGGGGGTAGTGCGCATATCATTAGAAAATTTGGAATTAGGAGCTAGATGGATTGATTGGTAGAATTAAATGAGGTATTTATTGCAAGGTTGGAAATAGTTGCATTATAACATAGCTGCATTCTGCAGGGGTCTAGCCTCCTAGACATTTTCATGTACAGCCATTAGTTGGACCTCTCCAAATGTAACTACGTACAAGCTAGAAGTAGTAATGGAAAATTAAGGTTTCCCCTAGTGGAATGAACAAGGCTAAGCATGACTACTACACCTCCATCAGATCGATCTATGCCAAAGTTCAAGAATCATGAAATATCTTCACCGGCTCCTTGACTGCAGGGAGTGGAGCAGTGGTTCTAGTTATGTCAATAATCTAATGTACGTAACTCAAGCGGATCATTTCGACATGAGCCAACTTCTTGCTCTAGTGAACGAGGACTCCTTGCAACTGGGTGCATGCCAACCGAAGAAGAAGGAACTATGTCCAATGGTTGTTGTAGCTCACAGGAAGGAAAGCCAACATCAGACATTCAAAGGACAACCATACAATGAGGCTGCATCTGGGGATTTTTTTTTTTCAACATAAGACTCTATACTCTGTATAATATACACCGATCGAACTCACACGTGCATCTGCATCCCAATACAAGAAAAAAGCTACAATATTAATGCAATCTAGAATTAATGAAGTTGAAGCGTCGACAATTAATGAGCACCTATCTATTGTATTGATAGATATCATATGCATGGCTGGAAGGGGAACTCTAGCTAAAAATAGTGCGTGGTTGAGTTGAGACTTGAGACCCACGTCCACGTGAAGCGAAAGAACACTATTCTATATTTGTGGTGCAACGTGTAAATGCATGCATGGGAAATCTGTATTGTTAGCTCCAAGTGGAAGAGGGCTTGTAATTATAAGATGTGGATTTCAACTGCATGTGTTGGGTAATTTTCATTTGTTCATTTCCTTTGTTGGCCTCTGCTGGTTTAATTAATTTTCGTTAAGCTTGGGGTTCCATGGTTTCAATATCTTCTTGATCATTAATTTAACATCATATCGTTCCATTCTTCGAATCGTTTTCATATTTCATAATATAGGAAGATGAGAGATCAAGATCAGCAGTCTAGGGATTTTTACGATCTTTGTGCTCAGATCCACAACGTCCTTCGATCTCCTCCACTGCCGATCCCATATTCTTCACTTTCTGCGGTAATGGCACCGTGGGCTTGGCCATCGTTTTCACGGACACCAATGACAACGACGACACAGGTCTCACCAGCTGGTTTTGCTTCGCTGTTTCTTGGGATTTCTATTGCTTTGATGCTTTGCGGTTCGGTGACTTTCTTAATCGGATTTATGTTAATGCCTTGGGTTCTCGGTTTTGTTATGGTTTTTAATGTTATTGGGTTATTCTCCAATCTATCTGGAATTGGTCGAGCAATTCTCTGCCCTACTACTCCCACCTCATCCCCTTCAAGGAAAGACTTGTCTGGTAACACATATCCTTCCTTCTCTCTCTCTCTCTCTTGCTAATTAATTATATATCCAAAAATAAAAAACAACAAAACAAAGCCTTTTGATTTATTGATATGTAACTCCACCTTGAATTAGATGAAATGACCCATCAATATATCAAAGGCCTTGATTTTCCATGACTTTCATGGGAAATGCATGGTTTCTTTATTTCTTATTGTTGTCTTTCCACGGCCATGCATGTTTTAATCTGAGTTTTGTTTTTTTTGTTTTTTGTTGATGATTAATTACATTTCCTTTCTTTGATATCGATAATGGAATTATCTAAATTGAACACACGATGTTACGTGCTTGCTTGGTTGGAAATTAATATTTATTGTTCCATACAATGTACAATGGCCTTTACAATATGATAATTGCAGGAAACACAAAACAAATATTAAAACAGAGATTTGTGTTCAAATAAATATGACTGTCAAACAGAAGTAGCTTTAATTTTATGCTTTATGACTTATTGTTTAGTTTGTAGGAATAAAATATGATCATACATACATCTCAATCTTGATCAAAGAGGCCATTAATATTGTCTCTGCATTCTACTTTGGAGAACTACGAATAAACAAAAAAAGGGTAGTTTTATTTCCTTTGTCACCAATTAACCATATGTATACACAGACAGAGGCAAACATCGATCGATCAAATTAATTAAGATGAAGCATTAGTAATCTATACCAGGCATGCATGATTGCTTATATTTGATGCATCCATGCATGCATGTGCTTGTGACTGATCATTCCCCAACTTAAGGAGCAGGACTAATCCATAAAAGTACTTAATTTTCGTATCTTTTTTCAGGTCAACGTAGCCCTTGCCGAAGTTGCCAGTTCAGTAGATGAAGGGTGAAGATTTGAAGTAGGTTTCGGTGGACATGTTGCATTTGAGCAAATGCATGCAATAACGTAACTTATTATTTGATGATATTGCCCAATTAATCACAGATTTTGAATCGCAAAAGCAAGGCCCAGAGAGTATACTACTATATCATATGTATCACTCTCATGGTCATGCATGCGTTGTGGTAAAAATAAAATAATGCTGGGTTCGACTCGACGGTGTTGGTGAATGGTGATGGGGTGGTCATGGTGATTATAATTTTTTTCTTTTCAAATCAAACCCTGGAAATGTTTTCAGTTGAATGGATGAATGGAGGAAGGTTAATTTTTTGAGAAATGTTTCGTCTGTTTTGTCTTTGTGTCCTAGAATCCCCTCGTCTGCTAATATTCTGATCTCAAGATTTGTCATCTGTGTTCTTTAATGCTTAATTTGCCACCTCATCATATTCTAAATTCAAGCAAGAATATAGTGGATTATTATTTACATTTAAATTAACATCCTTGGCTGGGTCCGGGTGCCTGCACGATCTGCTTTCATTTAAAATTTAAAAGAAAATCTTAAAGGGACGACTGTTTACAAATTTCACTGAGTTAACGGAGGGTGGCAAAACGAGTTGAAAGAAGGGTGGTTTAAAAAATAGGTAAATTAAAATGAACTGTGGGGTCAGTGACAAATATCTCCCTGAACTTTTATTTGTGACAAATATCTCCCTGAACCTTCACTTTGTGATAAATGCCCCTTCATTAGAGTTTCTTAAGTTAATTTAGAAAAAGATTCTATGAAGAAAGACATCATGTGAGTGAAATGAATCAAGAATTCAAAAAAAAAAAAAAAAAAACTATGCCAATGAAACGATTCTTGTTATTTTAGCTGGATTTGTTTGGAGGAAATTACGGTTTCTTGGTCAATTAGGGTTTAAGAGAAAAGGTTAAAAAATAAAAAAAAAATTTAGATGGACATTTAAGAAATTTAACACATTCCGTCATCTGACTTAACATTTAGGGGAAAGTGAAAGATCAAAGTGTCTTTGATGCAAATGAAAATTCAGATGAGTATTTTATCGCTGACCCCATAATACAATGGGCTATTTGTAATTTACCCAATAAACACGAGGATAACTAACAAAGGTCTGTTTATGAATTTTAGAAAACTTGTGCATAATTTTAATTAGTATTCTCGAGGAACTTCAAGAGAAGCTTAAATATCTATCCCTTTCTCTAGTGGTTGTTACACTTCACCCCCTTGCAGAACCTTTTGGCAAATACAATGTACGCCCTCCAAAATTGGGGATAACTTTAGCTATTTGGGTCCGTTGATAGCTTTTATGTACGTTCACCCATTCATGCCTATGTCTATACTTTTTGGTGAAAAATATAGAGGCAATTACTATTTTACCCCTCTCATGGCAATATAACATTCCCGATAATGTTTTTTGCAGAAATCTGAAATTACAGTCCCCTATAGTTTATTAGTAGCTCCCCCTATAAATCAATCACATCCTCCTTGTGGATTTGGCATCGATACGGTTGAGATTCACCCCACCTGTACAGTGGAGTTAAGAATTCTATCAATTCAGCCCACTCAGAATTCTTAACCCCCACCATATAGGTAAAATGAATCTTAACCGTGGATCGATGCCAAATTTACATACAAGATTTATAGGGAGCTACTAATAGACTATGGAGAACTGTAATTTTAAATTTATGCGGTGGAGTGCAGTATACTTCGAAAGTTTTTTGCCCAAATTGTGCATGGAACTCTGCACCAAGAATTTGGAAATTTATTATATTGCTGACTGTCTGAGGTGGGCCCTACGTTAACAGCCTAATCCAAAGCTTAGCCCTTCCATGTTTTATACACTATTTTATTCACATCTATGTGGTAAATTGCATATACCCTATAAATGTGCATATGGCAAAAGAACATGTCCTACATATATACCACGTCATGCCCACAGTTATCTCATGCACTTAGGAAGGATAAAGTGCAGCAAACCCAACTCAAAACAAAGTATACAAAATTACCCTCCAGAAGAATCATGCTTCCAAATATTGTACAATTGTCGAGTAACATGCCCGCATAATGAAGATGAAACACTGTTCACTTACTGAAAAGATCACATTCTCACAATATATCTTTTGGGGAGTTCTTTTTTTGAATTTTGAGAGAGGGGAAAGTTGGTTAATGAGATTTTAGTTACCATTGACCAAGAATACCATATTCTCTTTTCAGATTAATGTGGGGACTAGGGAAGGTTTATTTTTCTGGATATCACTTATCCGGGTAAGTGACACCCATCTCCTACTTAGGTAAATAACATTTCCACTTGGGGGGGGGGGAAAGATTTCAACACTTGAATGGGACAAAAATGCCCCATTTAATAATTGATTTTTATGGCTAAAATGGTTATTTTTTTTACTTAGGAAATAAAAGAATATGGATAAATACACTTATCCGGATAAGTGTTTACCAAGAAAAACTTACTAGGTAAACTGCATTTACCCGAATAAGTAACTTAGCTGGTTTTGGGAAAATATAACTTTTAGTGCTATGGCAAATATGGGAAATAAAATAATAAAATATTCGAATAAATCACCTTCCCCCACCCGTAAAATATCAGGAGGTTCCTAACTCCATAAACATGACAAAAATGGGCTTGGATCAAGTGGAAACCTACTAAGGAAAATGGTATTGAGATCCGCTTTGGTACTTCCAAAAAATTGGATAACAATCGCCGATCGTGCAATAGGATGCATAGCCAAACAAAATGATGAAAAAGTCTTACAGGATTTATTCATTTTTTGTTGGATTGATGAAAAAATTATTTTTGGTAGTAATGGAGCACGATCTAAATGCTCTTAGCTAGAGGATGATCTGGAACTTGGTTACGTAGCGAGCTAGTTCGATCTGCAAAACAATGAAGCTCAGAGAACCCGAAGTGGCTAACCCAGCGAGGTCACTCCATTACTTAAGTCAGTATTGCGAGCTGAGAGTTGAATGATAAATGTACTAGTGAGCAAATAATCGCACGTACATTGATCTTAGGGTTTGAAGTCCTTATATAACTGAGTTGCTGTGGAACTCACGAAACAACGGGATCCTCGGCTCGCGTGGTTAGGATCCGTCCACCCCGGAAGGGAGGTAATGTACTAGTTAATGAAGTCTATCACTACCTTTCGATCCGGGCAGGATGAGGATAAGGCTTTTGGTTTCGTGGCACGATCCCGAGAGGTTTAGAGTCCATTGGGAAGCGTCTAGAATCAAACACGTGTCACCTCGGTACATGGGCGACAAATTGGCTCTCGGTTCCGAGATGAATGATCACCCGAGCTCTCGATCTGCTAACGAAGCTCTCCTTGTTGAGTTATCATCCTATTGGCATGTTGCATCCACGTGTCCCTTCTTTACTAGGTCGGGCCAAATTACCCTTCAACAATTGCCCCCACTCCCCGGTGTACCAGGGGTCTCGACCCGATGCGGAGAGTTCACGAAAAGCCCAAGTGGATTTCGCATGATGACCAGATGGTAGAGAGGGCGGTTGGTGCTACAGTACGTGTGAGTTTCTTAATCATACCCTCATACGCGTAGCCGTAGGCTATGAAATTTCCCCTCCCTAGATAGGGTTTTGGTAGGACGAGGAAACAAAACCAATTTTTATCGTAATCAGTTGAATTGTTCTTTTGTTTTCGCTCAGCATTCTCTTCTCTCCCTGTTTGGTTCAGACTTCAGACGATAGGAATTAGAATCACGTGAAAGAGGACTCTGATTCTCAAGGGAGGGAGGAGAGGGAAATAGGGGGGAATGGTCATTCCCTAAGATGGAAAATTTGCCATGCCATTCCACAGTTCTGATTCCATACCCCCCTGTTCCTTCCTGAGAATCAAGCGGTCTTAGCCACCGACGTACATTTGATGTTGTCTGGAATGTGGATATATAGATAAGACGCACAGTACTAGAATAGGCTAAATCAACATTAATTTATGCAGCCCTCAGTATTAGTATAATGTGGTGTTTGGTTGCACAGAGAAATAACTAAATAAGAGAGAAACAGAAAGTCGAGGGAAGTTACTTTCTGTTTCTCTCTCATTTTCCATCAAACCAAAAAACAGCCCAAGGAAATTATAACCGGAGGAAATACAAGAAATCCGATACAGAAATTGACTGAAAGATGTGCAGTATATATATATATATATGATCAATAATTTAGCGGATAAAAAAGATTGGAGATTTGAGAATGCCTTTAGCACTTGAAATTTGAAGAAAACAGGGCAAATAAAAGTATAGATGTTATAGCGAGGTTGCAATCCCACTATCAAACAAAATCACACAACACCCACAAAGCTACCATTTTCTATCACAAATCGAGTATGATTTGCGAGATGAAAATTAAAAAAGAAAGCAAAAGCAATTCCATTAACAAAAGAAAAAGGAAACACGTACTGATGTAAGTAGTGGAGTTGTAGCAGTGATCAAATAACAAGTCAAAAGTTGATAAACAACAGGGGTCCCTCAAAATCAAGAACGACAGGAAGACAGCAGAGCACATACCGAGAGAAAAAGGGGGGGAAACGGAACGAAGCTAAAAAGAATAACAAGAAAAGAAAAGCGAGGGTTAATAATTAGCCAGTATAGATATGAACACCGATGGCAATGAGGAAGATGGTGATGAGAGCGAAATAGATGACGGCGTGGACCAATATGGACACCCCACTCGTCTGCATGTTGCCGAACTCCACTATTCTGTTCCTCCCAGGCAGCTGGAACACCAGCCCCGGCGTTAACAGCACGAACAACACCACTGCTATCACCACTGGACCCCAATCTGCCATTCTCTCTCTCTCTCTCAAAGCGAACGAACCAGCTACTGCGCACACAGAGTTACGAAGACAAGAATAACAGTCCACAAAACGGAGAATAATCCCAATCGGCGATTGTAGCGATCAGAAGAGGGAGGGAGGAACTGTGTTCGCTCTTTCTTTTTCTTTTTCTAATTTTTTTTATTCGTTTTTGAGCAAAAAAGGACAAAGGAGATGGACAAAAGCATTGGAATCGACACCTGTCGACGGAGATTGGCGCAAGGGGAAGAAGCTACCGACACATCTGGGCTCTGGGGTCTGGACACAAGGCGAAGCCACCGAAAGGACGGCACCGGCTTGTCTCGAGATTTGGACAGGTGGTGCCTGTGATTGTGAATGTGATGTTTCAGTTCCGACTTCATTATCACGCTTCAAATTTTCTGCTTTTCTTTTCCTGCTCCAACCTCCCTCAGGCCGCAACGCATTATCACGTCAATTCGAGTTCGTAGAGACAATCCTAACCGTTGATATGGATCATAAGATTTTAACGGCCACCAGAAATAGGGAATATTCCACGTGATGTATTATGATTGACCGCCTCGCTGGAATTGGGAATAGGGGATGGAAGTGGGGCCCAGCCCAGATGGCCGGGAATTGTTGTGTATTGCGAGTCTTGCGACGAGTTACACAAAGAAATCGGCTTCCGTCAGGGCACGCTCGTGCTCATACCGTTTCAACCGCTTTTGCAATCAATCTTACATTTTACATTGGGAATACCTTCCAGAAAATAAAGAATAAGTACGGAGATATTCTTAATTCAAGGCTGGTAACCGTAAAAGGCCTCTCGAACGGATCGTCTGCGTTTTGGAGTCACGTAAAAAGAGAGTGCATTCAATTGATTGCCGTCACTCGTCGTCACGTAAGTAAAATGACCGGTAAGCGTTACTAAAATCCGATTTTAAAGTGAACGAGTTCTCCTGCATCTCAGCCTTGAATTTTGTGCTTTGTACGAGAACGTAAGCCAACAAAGGGCGTGTGGTAAGGATTGGTAACCCATATCATATGATTTTTACCCAATTTTTTGAGAATGGAATGATTCTTGATCGTGCATTGATGTCAAAATCATGGGATGAGATTTACAGAGGGTTACTGGTAGAATATGGGGTTCAGAATTTTGCATACTTAACCCGTGATTTTTTTCATATTGACATTTCTAAAATACATTCTACCAAAGAGGTTTTTTTTTTTTTTTTTTGTGAAATACACTTTTACTCCACGGCAGAAATCTGAAATTACAACCCTCATACTCTATCAGTAGCTTCTTATGTATCGCATCATCAATCTACAGTTAAAATTCATCCCATCTATATGTGGGGCTTAGAATTCTAGGTTAGGCTGAACAATCATTCTCCCTTTTCATTTTATAGAAGAAACATGGATGTGTTGGTGCTACACAAGCCTGAGGTAGCACGTCCCCAAAAGTCTCCCTTACAAATAGCTATTAAACCACTCGGAGAACTAAATGCAAACAACTTAATCTAGAATGAGCTTCATTACCAATCCAGTTAGTCGTTTGATTCGTCTCTCTGAACACGTGTCTGTAGCTTATTCGTCCTTCCACCTAATCCTTCAACTTTAGGCAATCTTTGATGATATTCCTTAGGTTTCAAGGAGGATGGGTCTGGTTCCTAAGACAAGAGATTACCAGCTTTGAGTCCCCTTCAATAACCACCACCTCCGCCTCTCTAAAGTTTGCCGCTAGGTTGTGAACCTCCCAAGCAGTCCAAGCCTAATCAAGGCATCCTATAACCACAGTTAGAATCTATGGGTTCACATATGATGCCGAAAAGACATGATACTTGAAGAACTTACAACCAATCAATTAACATCATAAAAGTGATAATCAATTAAATGGATTTTTATCAAAATTCATGGAGGGCTGTGATTGGTTAAAGCTTTTTCCCTATGATGTATTTTTGGCAATGGTAGACAGAACATTAGAAAATATGCAACCAATCAACCAGTCCTACAAAAGTGGTAACCAATCAAGTGGTTTTTTTTTATCAAATTCACAAGGGCTTTGATTAGTCAAAACCTTTCCGACATCATGCCTTCTTCGCATCATAGATTTTCCCCCTTATACTTATATCTCTTGAAACGACAACCTAGGGCTATTTTGGATAGGAATTGGGATTGAAAAAGAAACAAACAATCATCTTCTTTTGTTCCTCTCTTGAAACATTGATCCCCGGTGGTTATTATTAAGAATAATCACAATATTGGGTTTATAATTCTGATGATTACTAATTTGGAACCCACTTGGGTCATGATGAACCATCACCATTGAATAAATCAAGGAATGACCTAGAACCAATGTTTTAAAAATTAACCCAAAAAGAAACTACTTCTTTTGCCTTTGCTTAATTAATCAGCAATTCAACCATTTAGGTCAAATAGAGCAAGTCATGATGTCATAAATAAAAATATAAAATAGTTTGGAGGTTGGACTTTACAGCTTGAATTAGTTAGTTTGAGTGTTCCAAGCAAATTTGCTAGAGGAGGACCTTGGTGGAGGGAAAATGAAGAAAGTGGGCATCATCCAATTTGAGTATTCTCCGTTCTCCCTCATCCTTAAGATGACAGTAGAGTCCCTTCACCCAAGGAATGGAAAAAAGAACAATATGTTAGCAATATGAAAAATAGCAACTCATAGTCGTTATAGCCTTACAAGTATTACCAAACACTTGACAAAATAGTAATGTCTTGTCTACCCTATTCCTCTTCCTCTTAGCAAGAAGTAGTAGATGGATCACGTGGATGTTAGATAGTGTATGCCCTAAGCTCCAATTAGATTGATGTATACATACATTTATTGTAAATGGATAAAAGTATATTATTGTTTCAAACTGACATTGGTATGTTTCTATGAAATTACCCCTTAAACTATATACTTATGAGAATCATGTTAGTTTAGAATGTTCTCAGCCACTGGATAGACTTTGAGAGTTTATCCTGCCAAGACTGACACTAATGTGCTGCCAAAGAAGTTGGGGCAGCTTGTCTCAGCTGCTAGGATTAAACCTAAAGCACATGCAGTGTGTGTTTGGATGAAACATTAAACACGGATCATTTTTCAGTTATGCCATAGACCTTGGAGATTGATGGACAAAACTAGAAAATTACACATAACTCCTAGACTTGATTATGGTACTACAATAAGTGTTGGATTGGATTGTCGTTTATATGCCAATCAATGAGATCCATCAAGGGTCAAAACCTGAATATGTTGGAAAAGTTTGAGAATTCATCTAAATGGGTGATCATAGTGATAGGATTGGGCCCTTTGTCGGACAAAGTGAACGATGGAGCTTACACTCTCACTAATGGAAACCTAAACTGTCGACAATGGATTTCAACTGTATTTGATATTTGGTTTTGCAATATATATATATATATGTGTGTGTGTGTGTGTGTGTGTGTGTGTGTGTGTGTGTGTGTGTGTGTGTGTGTGTATGTATGTATGTATATATACATGTTTTATGAAAAATGTTTGTAAAAGGTTTTAATTCTTATGATCCATCAAATCAGAGAATGTGACACTACACCTTGCAGTCAGGGGAGAGGTCATTTCCTATCAGGTAGTGTTTGATCATTATGGACCGAGAGGTCCTTCCCTCTCAACAAATCACCACACCCATGCATCGACACACATTTGCTAGAAATACAGTAAAACAAACATTGAATAGAGCTTTGCTAGGGCTTTCAAGATGAGAGAGAGAGAAAAAAAAAACATTCGATCAATACGAGAAAGAGATAGGGAGAGAACATCAAACAAAACTTTACTGTGGGGTGAAGGATTTTTTATAGTAGGGGAGAGGAAGAGAAGGAGAGCAGGAGGAGAGAGACTGATTTGAGAGAAAGGAGATTGTGCAATAGCTAATCTTTCATCTTAGTAAAGGAGAAGAAGAATATGGGTAAAGTTCCTGTTTTTGCCACAAGGAAGAGGAAGAAGATGAAGAAATAGAGAGAGAGATGTATGTAGAAATGTTAGGGGTTATGATTAGGGCTTGTGGAAACTTATCTCATCAAAGTTGAAGAAAGCTCTGTCTTGACGGAGAGAGACAAAGGGAACAAAAACAAAGACAAACAAGAAAGCTCTCAATGATGTCTTGATGGTGTTGCGTGTAAAGGAGGAGAAGGCTCTCGAACACTGGTCAAAATTAGCACATTCGGATTGTTATCACGTGAGACTGTAGATCTACTCGCACAAGTGGATTCCATTTGCTGCACTGACAGAGCACCCATTTCGTGTGTGTGTGTGTGTAAGATGCTCTAGTTCTAAGAGATGGAGATGGTTTTAGTGGTAAAAGGGAGCATAGGTGTAGAATTGGAACCCATATCTAAATTGAAGTAATAGCAACTCCAATTGACTAACCACTTGACCTGTTATCACTATTATGCTACCGATTGATTGATTATAAGTTTTTTTGGTATCATATTCAAATTAAAAAAATTATAATTTTTTGTTAACTTTTTTACTGTATCTAATGTAATTATTTATTTTTAGAATGCATTTTCTTCATTCTTTTCTTCATCCAAACACAGTCAAGGGCATTATTGGCCAGTGATCAATTATATCTTTTTTGTTGGTAAGTGGGTATTGATGTTGTGCAATCTGGTGCTCCTTGCTAATAGACATATCGGACGTCAAACCGTACGGGTCGCCTAGTTGAGCTGCAAAACAACAGTATCAGAATGTCCATGTTACTTTATCCGGGGTGTGCACTCTGATGCTTAAGTTAGCGATGAGTTATGAGAATTGGAAAGCTTGAAACCAAGAGAGCTATTAGTGTTGAATCACATGTACCTTCTTTGAAAAAGGGGACGCCTTTATATAGGCTAACAGCCGTGAGCTCTACAAAGCATGTCCGGATTTTCTAGCCCGTTTGGTTCAGAGGTGGTTTCACGCCCGGAGATAGGCTCCAAGTAAGCGGGTAGTGCTTACCCGGTTGCGCCCGAAATGGGCAGGGCATTAGTTAGCTTCGTCAACATGGTGTCGTGATCGCAGGGAAGTCAAAGCCGACAGCTCGCTCAAAGAGGAAGTCGCCCATCGTGTCACGCATGCCACTAGCTAAGTCTCTACTAGGTCGGCGGAGGCAGGTCACCTCTTACGCCAACTTGACATCGGTCGGTTTATCTATAGTCCAACCTATCGAGGTAGGACTGAGGATCTATTAGGTCGGTGGAGGCAGGTTGTCTCTTACACGGTTACACCGACTTGACGTCGATCGCGTATCTACGGTCTGACCTACCAAGGTGGGGCCGAGGAGTCTACGACGGATGCGAAGTATCTGTCATGCTCCCAAAATCTGCTCATATGGAGTTGAATTATCATCTGACAGTTTTGTGAAGCCACGTCATTACGTCACTAGAGTGCCAAATCATCCCTCATCAGTTACATAATTAAATAACTATTATTAGGACTAAAAAAAGATTATGGGTATTATTTTCTCAAATAATAGATATTTCAAGAAATAATAGAATTAATTTCTCAAAAAATTAAAAAAAAAAGACTATGGGTATCTTTAGGACTGAAAAAGAAAATAATTCAACTTTGGTTTTAATCCCTTAACAATTCAAAAAGCACATTGGCTTGGAATTGCCATTGTCAAGACGATATTATGTTGGCACGATGGTATCTAAGTCGAATAATATTGGATGAGGATGATTGTTAATGAGCTCTTCGCACATGGCTTGTATCCCATCCCCTTTCCCTTAACCCCTCACCCCCTTGGTGGCGGCATCACATGGATTTGCTTATGTTCAAAATCACTTAAAGTTGAAGGACTACACCATCCCATTTACAGTACACTTACACATCAATCCCACTACACCATCTTTGGAATAAAGCATGAAAGATATAATATTTATTTACTTTATTGAAATGAAAATCCAACAATCAGTGTGGTTCATATATATATATATATAGTAAGCATACGTTCATTTGGCATGTAATAAGATAATGATTTGATGATCCTCCCCCTTTTCTTCTGTTTAGTCAATTCATTCATCCCCACCTCACAAGCAGATGAGCACAATCATATATTACTTGATCGGGATTCGGGGTAAAGCCACCCTTGCAATGCAATGCAGGAAACCCACCATCGTTCCACCTTTTTTAATGTCATCTCTGCTTTAATTGCTAGCTTTTTGCAAGAGCTCCTCCAGTACCAGTGAGTAGCACCTTTATTAATGGCTAGGAAAATGCAAGGAAGCAGTAATTAATTAGGACTGAAAAGAAAAAAAAAATTGACTCTTGTTTAATTTAGCATCCTCCTATCCTTCTCTGTTAAGGAAAATGCTCTCGCTCTTTATTCACTACAAACCCTCATAAAAAACCGTGTTATGTTTAAGTTATTAGCACTCAAACTTTTGGAACTAAACTGTGGTATGCTTGATTCCATCGGGAGACAGAGATGGCCGCCGCAGATTGGGGACCGGTTGTTGTTTCATTGGTCATATTCATATTTTTATCACCGGGGCTCCTGTTTCAACTACCGGCAAGGGCAAGGGTGGTGGAGTTCGGGAACATGTGCACAAGCGGAATCTCCATCTTGGTACACGCCATTATTTACTTTTGTGTACTTACTATCTTGATTGTTGCCATTGGCGTGCACATAAACGCCCATCGATGAGATTTAGATGATCTTTATTATCGCACACACTTTGTAGCCCTTTTGTTTCACAAAGCAAGCAAAGTTCACTTGGAATAGCTTGTGTTTCGTAGAATTTCAGGTGTAGTACGTCTTGTTTACGTCTTTCCTTCCTTTTGGTTTTCTCCCACGCACCCTTCTTTATCTTCAATGTTTTTTTTTTTTCTTTTTTTGTTATTTTGACTTTTAATTAGTGCTTAATAGCATATGATATTTCACTCTCACTGCAAATTTACGAACAATAGATGTAACCTTTATTCCTGAGAATCACGATGATAGCGCTTGGATTCAGATTCATATACCAAGGATCTGGATCTCAAAATGCGAATCTGTTTTCCAAAACCGCTTCAAGAAATAAATTAGCATTTCTTTGTGTAATGTACCACTTAAATTGGGTGCCAAAAATAAACTCTTAGGCGCGCGCGCATGGGACCCATTATGGCAGGCCTTGATCTTGAAGCCTTACAGTTGCGGGTACCAATTTTTGGTTTAGACTTCAAAGCTCAATGCTTGAGCTAAAACTATTCCCAGTTCCACCAGCACTTTTTCAAAACTACACTAGGGTTCTAACTTTATCAAACCACAATCCTAATCTTAATCCTAACCTATCGTCATCCTGATTATTGAATTCACTTGTTACCACACTCATGCATATGATAGACATTACTTTGATTATTATTACCTTGGTATCAGCTTATGGGCTGGATCAGCTTGCCCTATGCCTCAATTTATTATAAATTGTGTTAGATTTTGCAAACCCAACATCAGGTTAATTTCTTAACCTAACTGAACCCTATTTTTTTGTGGTGGGTTTTTTTAAGAAATTAATTAACAATTGATATCGCTTATAACTAATTACATGAAGCAAGAAATCGACCTCATCAGTTAGTGTTCTCTCTCTCTCTCTCTCTCTCTCTCGCTCCTGATTGTATTCGCCTTCTTGGTTCGTTTCGCCCGCATTGCACTTGAGGCTGTAAAAATTTATAACTGCTCTATTTGTTTACAGTGCAAATTTGAACCACATGCAAATTTTGCACTCAAAAACTGATGCAAAATTTTCACAACATACCTCCCCGTTCCAAACCAGAACTTTCACTCATCTCATTTGCATTCTCATGCATACACTTGCACTGCAGACAAATGGAACCTAAGTAGCTGGGTGGCCCGTACTCATGTTCACCTGTGTGTGCGCGCGCTTGAGAGAGAGAGAGAACAATAGACTAATATATGGTCAATCAGCTAGAGACTTCACCAAAAGGCTAGCTGGCACCTTACAACAGCGGTGATTCATGGTATCAAATAGATGGTTCAATCAAGACCATCCCACCATCACCCGGAGTCCTGAGAGCATCGTTAAAACTTGAAAGTATAAACTTTAACTACAAGTGAGGGGAGAGAAGACCCACTATGTATGTACATAGGCGCCCCATCAGGAAGCTTCAAAATGAAAATTCCTTAAACGAGTAGACAATTATTGATATTTTGATGATGTGATGCTTAATGACGCCTATGTATCATAAATGCCCTCATTAAATGTATTTTTTAATTTTGAAATCACACAAGTACAAAACGTTTACTGAATAAACGTAAACGGGGCCAATAGATAGGAGATAAGGTGATCATTAAAACGTGGGTTTTGTCATAATTCTCAGTTGGGTCACAAGCGTTGATAGACTGTTCTAAGTTCTTTATAGGATTCCAGCCTCTTAAAAAAAATACGAGCACAAGCAGAATTTGGCATCCAAAGCCCCTTTAATTGGGATAAGCATGGCATGAAGCATCTTTACCTTTCCCTCTTTTTTCTTTTTGCCTTCATCATTAATATGTTATATTATATTGTTGTCATTATTATTTTTGGTGCCTTTGCCACATAGAAGGCTTCCATTCAGAATCCCACTAGTGATGCTCGTTGATCGAAACCTTATTCCTCCCCTTTAGTAAATTTAACAGGAGCAAAAGCTGGTTCCCTGGCGTATACGAGACTACAATGAAAGATTGGGCTGCTCCAATTATAGCCATGGCTCTATTTGCATTTCTCACGCCAGGAGTAATCTTTCAGATGCCAGGAAAGCAACGACCCATTGATTTCATGAACATGAAGACGAGCCTGGTCTCCATCTTGGTTCATGCCACGCTCTATGGCCTGCTTCTCATGTTGTTCCTTGTTATTCTACATGTCCACCTCTATGTTTAGCCAAGTCTCAAGTGTTTTAATTATAATCAGACCATGAGAGAGTTTCCAGGTTGTATTCTTCTTCCTCCACTATTCACAGCCTCAAGCAAAGTCTTGGGCTTTCCCCCCCGTAATTGGTACTTCTCTGTCCTCTTACTTTCACATATTTTGTTACAATCAGTCACTATTACACGTTTCTACAATAAATAGAAATACGGTAATGTGTTTTTTACTGTTATATTATCATTTGAAGCTTGAGTTTGAGTCTGTTCTTGTTAGGCCTCACAGTTTATGCAGATTCTTTTATTATTATTCAGCAGGATAATCTCAGGGAGACGCTCATAGTTTGAGTTTAATGGACAATATTCCAGTAAACCTAGCTAAACGCTGATGGTATTCATTCTCCATTGTTTGTCAAGTGAAGCTTTCATTAATTTGTTTATTTAGTAAAAAAAAAATCTATGTTCTTGACAAACAGGAAATGTTAAAATACAATACCATGAGTATGAAGCTGGCTAGGGAAGTGACCAAAACTTCAGAACCAAGATTCCTGCTCTTCCATGTAAAAGAAATTTTTGGTAGATTGATCAGCCACTCCCCAGCTTGATCCTAACCAAAAAAGTTAAAAACATAAAATAAAATTGCACCATACAGGATTATTGCAAGCCTTGGTTCATGCAACACATCTCTGTAGAGCCCAAGTTTCTGAACTTTACTCTTAAAGCATCTTACAAGCTGATGCTTGTTCTAAATATAAAACCAAAAGCATAGATAATGAATCCGTTACAGATAGGTAGGTACACATAAATAAGAATATAAATTAAATTGAGGAAATTACATAAAAGTAACTTTGCATCTCAATATATATAAAGTTTGGTAGCTCCCTAAATTGTATAAAGAAATCACCATCTAGAAAACAAAACAGAAGAACTTCTCCAAAATTAAAATATTATCACTACAGAAAGATGGACTGTAGAAGTGCAACAAGTAAAACCTAGTAGCAGAACTTCTCCAAAAGTCAATAAACTACTACTTTTATGCTGGCGAGGAATTTATGCATCAAGCCATCAATAACACACCAAGTGCATTTGGTTGAATGAATATGCTCACTAATAGGATTTTCAATGATTATGAAACCACAAATAAGTTCTACATATTCTGTTTGCTCATGGAACTAGGTTCAAAGTACTATTGTGGAATTCTTTCCATAACAATAAGCGGAGGATGAAAAATTAAATGCATTGGAGCCAATTACCGTTGTATGCAGTGGCCTTCAACCAAGCACATTTGGGTTAATAATGGTTCTAAGTTTTATATGCTTCTATGCAGTGCACTCAGGTCAAGTCTAGATTGACAAACAGTATAGTAAAGCTTATCATACCTTAAATGTCATCCTTGTTTCTTGATAGACAAGCAGTAAGCACTTTGATCTAGTGTAAACAAGACCATAAAAAATGAGACATCTGACAAAAGTAATATTTAGAGACAAGGAGAAGAGAAGTATCAATGAAAACCAGAAGCCAAGTTTTTACCAGTTTTCCATCAGGTTCAGTCCACTAGATCCATGAATTGTTTCTGACTTGTTCAATCATTGGAAAGAAGAAACAGCAGAGAGCTGCAATCCTGAGAACTTCATGGCATATCAATTTATCAATTTCTTTGCAATAGTGACAAGAAAATAATATATGGGGATAGAAACATTGTCTCCATAACAGCATGTAGGTGATCTGTAACTGCTTGAGAATGAGCAGCATATCGTCCCCGAACTCACCCAACATTATGAACATGAATATCTTTAAAGAAAGAGAAAACCAAGTACCAAACTACAGAAACCACAAAGAAGTCAAGAGCTACAATCTCTTACCTAGTGTGATTGGTGTATTCTACAAAAGTCAGCCTAATCTGTTGTTCTACAAAATAACCAAACCAAAGATTGATCAGCATCTGATAAAACATTTTAAATCTAACTTGGACAAGGAACTTGAAAACCAAAAGATAAACTCCAAGATAGAAGCATTCTCCAGGCTATGCTTGAGTCTGAACCCCAGTCCATATAAGAGATATGAAGATCCAATATCTTTGCATTAGAAACTAAATGAATAAAGCACAGAAAACAGAGTAGTTGAAGAACAGAACTAAACGAAGTTCGGGACTTCGTGGACAATGAATATGATTAAAGCATGTAAAAATTATCAAACAGTATACAAATTCAAAAATACACTGCTATAAAATCACTGCCAACAGTTGTACCATGATCCATTTATTGCATTCCATGTGGATCCTCATTCCTTAACATGGATCCTCATTCCTTAACATGAACCGGTCATTACAAGCCTTTAAGACAACAACACCACACCTCCTATTGCCTCCATTTCAAACAAATAACCCCCACAAGCATAAACCAAAAGATCTCCTAACACACACACACACACACAAACCCAGCTTCGTAGCACCAATATGCTACTAGTAAATAAAATACCGATACTGTGATTTTTGTCAATATCACCAACCACACAAGTACATTTTGGTTAATCTTGACATTCTAAATTTACTACAAAAGACAATAAACTCATAACTTAGTTTATGCAAATTCTTTAGACCTCTTAGTTGAGTGCTTTCTTACCCTATCAATCCTGCTCCCGGATTCCTTTTTACCTTGGAGGACTAAAATCAAAAGACATAACGGAAAACATAATAAGCAAAGCCCCATTAAAATTACAGTTTACAGAGAAGCATTACTTAATTTGAAAATAGTAAGTTAGATGTAATGCAAATGCGTAGATTTTCATCTTCTCAGCTAGCTATTCTAGCATAGCATCAGAAATACAACAACCGAACAGGAATATAATTCAATTCAAACTTCCCTTTCAGCAGTCAAGGTCAAAGAACTTCCCGCCACGATCGATCCTGCCTTCTTAATAGTGGGCTAATAGATTTTGTCTAAATCAGAAACGAAATCATAGTGAACATACTCAATAAAAAGAAGCTAACAAGTCTGCTAGCACCTTCCGTCAAACAACAACAATAAGGATAAGGATATTAGCCCTTTATATAATAGAATGGTGGAGCAGAACTGGTGAAGACGACCCCAAATTATTAGTATGTATACGCACTCAATTGAGGATAACCGCAGGGTTATTTGATACAACACCTTAAACTAGAGGCAGGTGGAAGCAAAATTGAGGCACATCCATGAGTGAATTGAGTCCATCCAAATAGTAGATTTGTTCCCATTCGGAACTTGTAGAATGGTAAACCCTATAATTAAAATTGAAGCAATATAAACCCCATTTTGAGAGAAAGTTTCCAAGGAAAAGCCGCCACAAAGGATAGAAGAAAAGGAGATCACAAACTCCACAAAATGTTTCGTATGCTAAGCTTAGGAAAAAAACACATAGACACAGAGATACTCTCCGCCAAATCAATTAAATCGTTTGTAGCTTACAACAACATATCAGTCCTCATTAGGGCTTATTACAATGAACAGAGAAATGAAACAACAACAATACAAAGCAAATTCGGAAACCCTAGATCCGAAAGGGACGAATACGGAATACCACCGTGTGGTGGGTGGTGTGCCGACTGTCGGAATGTTTAAGAACCAAGGTAGACGTGGATTCCAATAGCTAACAAGAAGATGGCGATAAGAGCCAAGTAGAGAATGGAGTGAACGAATATGGATACACCACTGGTTTGTAAGTTTCCGAATTCAATGAATCGGTTCCGACCTGGTACCTGAATCAGCAACCCCGGCGATAACAATACGAACAGCACCACCGCCACGAAAACTGGGCCCCAGTCCGACATCTCCTTCAGTATTCTGTAGTTACACCTTCTCCGACAAAGAGAAATAGTAATAGAAGAGAAGACCCAAAGAAGTTAACCACGGAACCAGGAAGCAGACACACTCTTAAAGATGAGTTGGATACCTTCATTTCATCCATTAGCTTGAATACGAAGGAGAGTAGGAGACACATACGTGAGTAGGGAGTAGGGACCATCTGTAAAAGTAAACAAGGTTAGGGAATCAAGTCATCCAGATTCAATTCCCGCCGTCCCATTTCTATCATTCTTTCGCCACGTGACTGAGACAGTAAATTTGCTTCAACATTTCTACCAAAAAAAAAGAATTTTGCTTCAACATGAGAAATCATGAATATACACTTAGAAGAGTGAGAGAGAAAACAAAAAGACTCAAAAGGGCCTTTTGAACATTCAGCTAAACAAAGGCCTTTTGTTTTGGGGAATGCCAATGTCATTATTGTAATTTTGTAGTATGATTTTTCACAATCTTGATGTTTTCTTTTGTTACTCCCCCAAAAAACTTAACTTACTCTTTAAAGGGAGGTAAGTAGTCGAATGTGCTAAGAACGTTTAAAGGTTAAGCACAAAATCCCCTCGATACTAAATTGTGTGCTTGTGCTTGCCACCATTTTAGGCAATACAAAAGAGCCTTTTGACTAATTCATGTACCTTCTTTGTTGTTTTTGCATGTTATTATTTGCTTTCGTAGACTTATTTGACCAAATTGGGCTCCGCACAGGGCCTCGTCGACTACCTCCGTAACAATTGGTATCAGAGCAGGAGCTCATTGCTAGCATTTGACCCATGACGCAAGCTACGCCATGAAGCACAACAGGGACATCATAGATGAGATCAAGCATGGGCTCTCCCTAGTTGACAATGCACCCACCAATGACACCACCAAAGACAAAGCACCGAAGGCCCGAGCACCTAAACCTAGCAAGCGCAAAAAATCTACTAACAAGCATGTAGCCATTGACTTGCACGTGCTACGCTGCGAAGCCACCGTAGGCGAAATGCGAGATTGGGTAGACAAGCTCCATTAAAACATGGAAGCCATGGAGAGTGCGTTGGTGGAGGTGGAAGGCCGACTGAGTGGGGTCGTGGACAAGATTCACGACATACTCAATGGCGTACTCAAAGAAGTTGCAGCATTGCACGCCAACAAGAGGGAAGCTCATCCAACTCGCATGTCCAAAACAAACTTGATAACCTTCAAGCCCAACTCGGCGAAATGAGAAGTTAGTGGGCAACATGGATGAGTGCCATGTCCTCCCCAACGACCATCCAGGACCAACTAAATGAAATTAGAGAATAATGGGCTGCCATGAAGTTATCCTTGTGTACTTCCGCCGACATCCAAGTTCAAGTAGATGAACTCAAGGCGGAGTGTGTTATACTAAAGAGAGCCATTACTAATCCAATCAATACCTCCACCACGCATGCGCCCTCCTACATCAAAGTTAGGGAGCCAACTCACTATTCAGGAACATGTGATGCTCGAGAGCTTGAAAATTTCCTTTGGCAAATGGAACAGTATATTGCGGCAGCCAATATCAATGATGAAATGACCTAGGTACGCACAACTATAATGCATTTGACTAATATTGCCATGTTGTGGTGGCGTAGAAGGTGTGTTGACATTGAACGGGGTACGTGCACCATCAACATGTGAAAGAATTCTCAACTCTCACACTAGAAGTCACCAATATGTCAAACAAAGACCTACTATTCAACTTCATGGACGGTCTAAAGACTTGGGCAGAGTTAGAGCTCCAACGAAGGAATGTGCAGGACATTGCCTCAACCATGGCTATGGTTGAACAACTTGGGGAGATGAGACTATCAGATGATGAAAGAAGCCATCCATTTAGCTCACGCGCATCAAATTTGAGTGGGGGAGATAGACCACCAAGTCCCCCAAAAGAGAAGCAGCCCTACCACAACCGACCATCAGAGTACTAGAAGGAGAAATAACCATAGGGAAGTCAAGGCTTCTACAACAATAGATACCAGGGGAGGCTAGCCCATCCTCCCACTTGCTACATTTGTGGGGAGGAGCACTTGACAAAGCATTGCCCAAAGCAGAAGAAGCTCAATGCCCTCATTGCTATGTTCAGTGATGACAAGCAAAGCGATGGGGAGCAGAGTACACAGGCATCGAGAATGGGTGCCCTCCAACTTTTTAATGCCATGTTGAAGAAAGGGGCTACATCTAAACAGCCCACCTCAATCAAGAGATGACTGAGGTACGTTGACATAAGCCTTGGCAGGAGGCCAACTAGGGCCCTAGTTGATACAGGGATCACTCATAACTTCATATCCATTTCAGAAGCCAATAGACTTAACTTGGCCATTTCAAAGGAGCTAGACTGGCTCAAAGTTGTCCATACAAGTGCCAAACCCGATGAAGGCATGGCTCACCGAGTAAGACCCCAAGTCAACACCTGAGATGAGCAGATTGACCTCTTCGTCATTGGCATGGATGATTTCAATGTTGTCCTAGGTATGGACTTCTTGACACAAGCAAAGGCGGCACTGATGCCTTACCTTGACACTTTATTGATCCTGGACGAGCGATCACCTTGCATGGTCAACATGATTGCCACAGCCGACAAAAAGAAGAAGCAAGTCTCAGCCCTACAACTCCAACATCCACCACGTCATAGAGCTCTGCAACAACGACCATAGTTAATTCAACCAGAAGTGATCACAATACCTCCAGGAAGAAGACAACACCAACACCGCCACAACCCAGTAGAAGCAACAACAGCCGCTACGACAACAGCATAAGCCATATGTGCCCACTTTTCCTGGGCCTAAGAGAAGACCTAAGGCCTACTCCAACACCATCCTCACATACCACTATGGGAAGAGAGTGCCACCCGTAGACAATAGGATTCATTCCAACCCTCAACCTTCATCCAACTCATATAGTAGCCATGTGAGGAGAGAACCTTGGTGAACGCCCTCCATGTCCAACACCCTTTTAATCCAAATTCAAAATTTGTACCGACTTTTACCTTAGCTTGTAGCACAACCCAACCTAGGCCACGCCTGACTTACCTACAAGTCGCTAGCTAAGGACTTGCTATAGAACCTAGCCATGAGCCTTCCCAACATAACCAACACCTACAAACCTATCACCATGTGCCCGAGCCTTGGAAGAGACAAAGCTAATGGAGCTCCTAAAGAGTCCTCTTTCACCAACAAGTCCAAGCAACAAGTTGAAGTTGGTCTTCGAGGACGAAGACCGAATTGAGTGGGGGAGACTGTCACAAGTGACCATTTTGCTGTGCTATCAAGTGCCATCATCATGCCCGCAACATGCCAATGGAATTCCAATGCATGTCTTGGGTGGGGCAATGCATATATTTTGTGATGAGGGCGGATTTGTCCCTCCAATGACATCGTAACACATGGCATCTTGGAACAGTTGGATGACATCTAGACTCCATCTAAGCGATGATTTGGAGTCCCAGATTGCAGTTCATCTTCACCCCGACTTGGCGACCTGCCTCTACCACCGACCTGGCGACCTCGATCACAACTTAGGTCGGCTTGCAGCACCTCGTCTAGGGCCGACCTATAGCACCTCGTCACTGGCCAAAGTGACCTCGGCGTGAGGAGCGACCTCTCTCGAGGGCTTGCTGACCTGATTGAAGACCAGGCGGTGACCTGCGAGATGTGCTCGCCGACAAATTTGGCATGCATATCCCGACACTCCCAGGTTTCTCAGAAGTTGGCCCACGTACTGGATATTCCAGAGGATGGTCAACGTGCATGGCGGTTACCTTCGAGGATCTTGGACCGGTTAGGCATGACCTCCCGGAAATCTTGGGTGCGGTGCGTAAGGTTCACACCAAACAATGCCTATATAAAGGCACCAACCCCAATGGCATAGAGGAGGTACGCGTGGTTACTTGCTCACTAGCTTATTTGCATTCAAGCTTTCAACTCGCAACTAGAGTACAATACTAACTTAAGCATCAGAGCCACCTCGCCAGGTCATCCACCCTAGGTTCTTTGATCTTTTGTCTTGCAGCTTAGTCCAACTCGCTATGCGACTAGTGTCTAGGTAGTCTTCTAGCTAGGAGCTTCCAGATCACACACCATCAATTGGCGCCATCTGTGGGAATATGCTACAAGAAGCTAAGTTCTCACCTTCTAAAAGGCTAAGTCCTCATCTTCCAGAAAGCTAAAGATCTCACCTGTTAAAAATTTAAGTTCTCACTCTCTAATTTTCCATTTTTATGAACTCAAAGGCATTTTTGAGCAGCACCAACATCTAGAACGAATATCAATTATTAGAGGGCAAAGACATCCGTGATGAACCTTGAGAACTCCCTTTTGACAATCAAACAAGTTTAGGTCAAACTCAGCATTCCTAGTGCCTCAAATAAATACCCCGCTACCGCATGTGAATGCCTCCTTCCCTACGGTAGAGCCATCGGCGGTTCCTGTCGGGATTGAAGCGCTCCGGTTCTATAAGATGAAATATGAATTTCCAGATCTGAGAATGGGAGAAGCTCAATGTAGATAGCAACAGAACGACCTTAACTCATCCTCAACAACAGTCAGCCAGGGCGAGACCTCACAAGCCCCATGTCGGGAGGTCGCCCCTACAAGTCGAGCCCTTCATAGCTGCCGTGGTAGTCAGCAACTAGCGGATTGCATGGACGCCCTTGCAGGTTGAGCCCTCCAAGGTTCCCGTGCGAGCTGGCGACCTAGAGTCAGTAATGCTACCCCCGTAGGTCGAGCTCTCAGTGGCTTCTTGTAGGAAAGGATGACCGGCGTCACTACGAGGCTGATGCAATGCAGTCGTGGCCCCGAACTACCAACTCACACCGACAACAACATTACATATCAACAGTCCTCGCAAGAGGAGGGGCAGGACATGTACTTTGTGGTCTCGCAAGCACTCACCCAGGAAGATAATCCCATTGGATGACGTAGAAGCAGCCATATGAGAAGTTACTATAGAATGGCCACCCACTTAGGCAGAAAGGTCAGGCCGCATGTCGGCTAAATAATATTATGGGGAGTGCACCACGAGTCGCTCCTAGAGCCTAAGGGCTAAGGTGTCGAGCTAATAAAAGACCTCACCACCACATAAGACCCAGTCACCTCCTTGGCATGGGCAAAATACTAAAGCA